CATATGTGAAATTAATATATAATCAAATGTATATAAGTTATATTAAATATATATATATATATATATATATATATATATTTCTTTTTTTAATAGAGAATGCGACAAACATCGTTTCATTGAACATTTTGACGAGTAGAAAAATTACACGGGGCATCGCGATAATAGCTGTCCTCGTTATAAATAGCACCTGATGCAGAAGAAGTATTAAGTATTCCCCTCTTGCTTTAAAAGAGCACGTTACTTTCATTACTTACACCTGCCAACCGAGTCGCACGAAGTTCCGCCCTTTCCACGCAGTCCTTGCGCCGTGAAAATTGTACGCAGCCGTCGTCAAATTTTACCTACTTTCTCCCAGGGAACACATCGAGACAATTCCGTTTACGTTCATTTACGAAAAAGAATAATTTCTCCGATAGGCGTAGATTTTTCTAGCGACTCACCTTGTCTTTTCGGAGCAATTAAATTCTCGCTCTCGCAATATTTCTCTTTAAGAACCGATTATCTATTCACGTGAAATATTTTGTGAAATTTAATTTACCTGGAACGTTGATTTTGATTCAAATTGAAAAAAAAAAAAACGCTACGCGATGGAAGGACGACGTCTCGTCGGTTTGCATGCGGAGCCGCCCTTGTGCCGCAGGGTTGTATGGAAGCCAGCTGCGAGTCGGCGAAGCGCGACGAACTGAGGCCGCGTGTACTCGGAAACGTTGTAAAAATAATTATTAAAGCCGTTACCACGCCGTATTACTTGTTCGTCCGTCTGACACGTGTACCGACAACGCCACGAACGACGGTCCAAGGTTCGCGTTGCGTATCTGCGGAAATTGCACCGATAACTCGATAGCTCCCATCGATACCGCAGAAGCTTGTTTATTAGTTTTCGAGCCGCTTCGAAGTAGGTTGTTGCGTGAAGAAAACAAGTCGCAAGTATAGCTAATGAAAGCATGCGCGATTGCTCTGTCGCTTGTCAAAGCGAACGGGAAGCAATCGATGTAATTGTTGTTATAAATTTCTCTTCATCCTACACCTATCTATACATTCTGCTCGAAATTAGAAAGAAACGATTGAGCCTGAGATTATCCTTTCCATGGGAATTATTCCGTTGAATTTCATTTTAGACGCGGGGAATAATTTTGCGAATTTTTCGGCGCTAATTACGAGCGATTCTTCTTTACAACGAGCGCCATTATTCGCGGAAATGTTAACGCACACCATCGTTTTTGCGCTGCATGCTCGGCAACCTGTCCTTCCTTCCGACGCGTATCTACCATTTTTAACCGTCACACTTCTAATGGATGCAACGGTTTTTTCGTCCGCCGTCGCCGGCCATCTGTCGTACAATGAAAATGGTTTGATGAAATTAAAGTCAGCTGATCGAAAAACCAGCGCGGTCTAATATTGCCAGTCTCCCAGCTGCGTGTATTAATGCCTATAACAATAGATACAATTTCAGTCTCGAATGAATTACTTGTAGTCGCCAAAAATATAGCTTCTAATATTCGGTAAGACATGAAAGACTTGCCGGACGTTTTCCTCGCGACGCTGGGATTTGAATATCGAGAATAAAAAAAACTTTCTATGGGCGACAAGCGCAACTTTTTTGCGAATGTCAGGATCCCCCTGTTACCGTTTGACAATTTTATCGGGCTTCCTGTTACTTTTGCGCGTGCATGTGACACGCATGCAATGGATACGCGATGCAGAAAAAAAGAATATAATGCCCAAGTGTTGACGAAGCGTCCAATACTTTCGTTATCGTTTACGGAAATCTAGGATTTTCGTCGCTTTTCCATAGCTTTAAAAACACGAAGTAAAAATATAACAATTTTTCGTCTGCAAAATTATTAATATCTTAAAATAAATAGACATAATTTTATAAAATAATAATTTTCTAAGATAGCTTCTATAATATCTGTGACTAGCAATGGCGGGTAGAAGACATTTGCAATAGTTTGTAATATTATTTTATAAAATTACAAGTAATATTATTTTATAAAATTACATTATTTTATACAATTACAATTATTTTATATTATTTTATAAAAGCCACGACAAGGACACGGAAAAACTAATCCTTATGCGACTTTTAATAGATGATCGACTTGCACGAGTGCGTGATATTTTGACAGATCAGGCAATGTCATCTTTGCTTCATAAAAGGATTATAATGTACCATCTAGCTCAGCAATTAGAAGCACGCGTTCGACTGGCAGCTGCCGGAGTACGCGGCGATTTGACGATAAGGTAATTAAAATATTTCGTAAACATGTTTCCTCGTACTGGCAGATGCCCAGAATTTGATAAGAAAAACGTACGCGAAAGTTACGTATCGTTCCTTTTCATCGGCTGCGTCACAAATTTCCGTCTACATCGAGATATTTGAAAAATAACTTTTCAAAATGCACCGTTCTTTCGTCCCGTCGTTATTACGTTAAATTAGCGCAAATTAGGATTCCTCCTTGTGATTTTCAAGATGCGCGTAGCAGATGCGCCGCGCCAGGACGAGCGTTTAATGTTTCCTCCGGAGGCAAATGTTCGGTGTCGTCGAAACTTAAATAAATATAAGCGCCGGCTGCCACCAGGCTGCTTTCTCGCTGTCGTTGCAACGTAACTTGTAGGCTCTTTAAAGAGCTGTTTACACTGCGAGTCACGCCAACGCAAGCATCCGAGATGCATTCGTTAACATCCAAATTTGAATGACTGAAAAACTGGAGACCAAAACCGGCAGGCTGCCGGGCTCTTCTCGATCTCTTTAGAAACGCGCGATTCAATTTTCCACGCATATATAACGCGAAAAAAAAAAGAGAGAAGGAGAGAAAGGGAGGAAGGAGGGGGAGAAGAACAAGCGAAAGATACAAATTGATCGAAGGAGGAAGAGAAAGAGGGAAGAGATTTCTTGGCTTCGACGATTAATTACGCTCTCATTCCCGCCCTCTCAACGATGCATCGTCGATATTGACATTTGCCTTGCCTCCCTTTCACCCCTGTCTCTGTCCGGCTCTCTTTCTCCGCTTTTCACCGCAAGGGAGAAAGCGTGCAAACGGGCGGGAGGAAAGGCCCGAGAGGGAATAGATACGTGCATAGATTCTTTCCCCGGAAGGGGCGGAGGGGATGAAATCTCGTGAGGGCCTCCGCGGCCTCCCCTGCCTCTCGAGCGTGTGCTTATCGCGGTGCACCGGCGCGATTAGCGCATTTTTCCTCGTTGCCTCCCGAGGAGGCACAGGTAGGTTGGTAGGTAAGGCAGTCAGGTCGGCCAGGAATGCGCGTACAAGGGAATTAGACCATAATCGCCCACGCGTGTGTCGCGAAGGGGACGTTTTCCGCCCTGCCTTTGGATCCCGATGTTCACTCGTTGCCCTCACCCTCGCCCTCGCACACCAATCTTGACCTCACCTCACCGCACGGCAAATTACACTGGCCCTTTGAGCGCGGGATAGAGTCGCCGGATATAAATATAAACGGTTTTCAGCGCTCTCCGTAAAATGGTCACTATGCGATAATTAAGGCTGCGTTATGCAAAAAAAAATAGTTATATCTGTATAAAAGAGGGCGGCTTCAATAATAGCTGATTCAACGCGACAACCAATCGTCTATTCCAGTCTTCGAGAATAATGCGTTTACGATATACGCGAGATTAATCTGGAATTTAATTTCAATTTTTTTCTTTATTAGCTCCGCACTTTGGAATAGCTACGGGTACGTCCATCTTGACAGAAATGGGAAAGGTTTTCGCGGCTTGCTCGCTAATTGGAATTGTGCCAGACATCGATAAGTCACGCATAAGTTATTGAACGTTTAATGAGCGTTTCTGAATGATTTTTTTTGTAGTCTGTTGTTTAATGATTCTTATGTATCATTAACTATTTTTCCTTAATCACTTTAATTAAAAATATCGCGATAATTGTAATTTCCGAAACATTTGCTCGCTGCTTTAATCTTGCGAATGATCCCTCGACCATTCTTTAAAGAAACTCTTAAAGATGAAGTTGCATTTCTTATCTCTTAACTTTGAAGGGTTGTTGCTTGACCGATCAATTGCGCAATTAATTTACGCTTGATTCGATTCTCTTTATGGTCGACGATTTTTTTTACACGTCGGTAAGGACGAAAGGTTCTTCTTTGCTCGGTTACCGCATGTTTCCGCCAACATCATGAGTCGGTAAATGGAATCTTCTTTGAAGGATAATGCAGTTTTCTGCATCCATCTGGCGCAACGTGTGAGATATTTCTATTATTGGGAAACAATAATTTTTGACGAAATTGCACGGTATGTATTGTAGCGCGAAAATTTGATTCCACGCGTTTCTGTCAACTTTTTTCTTATTAAAGAGTCACGATTAGATAAAGATTGATGGATAAAGCAGGTGTTACCGACAAAAAAATTTTATCGAATACGTTTCATGAGATGCAACGTTGAATAAAGAATATATCAAAGCTCCTCTTATATTTTCATATATTTGTATGGATATAATGTTATACTTGTCATGCTTAAAATAAGTGATAAAAAATTGTACTCGTATATCCGTTGCGTTCTTATTAAATCACTGTCAACGTGACATATGCAACATGAAAGAGATTAATCAAACTCTCGATTTCTCACAGAGACAAGACACAATAATTATAATTATATGAAATATAATTATCATAATAAATAATTATCGCGAAGCATGAAATAAGAAGGATCGAGTCAATAAATGACGGATTATCGAGAAACGTCGGCTTGTCTTAATTTATGACTGTAAAATCCGAATCCTTATCCTCATTCTCGAATAATTTAGAACGTTGTTTCATCGTCTAGAATTTAATCTAACACGCCAGCTCTGTGGAAGTGATACTTTTATTACCGGTTCTATTGAACTTAACGAGATCAATTGAGACGATACGGTTGCCTTGATTTTACGGTAGCCAAACGCTGCGATATATATATATAAGCGGCGATCCCGCCGATCGTAAATTGTAATCCACCCACGCGTTTAACAGTTTTTTTTTTTTCATTTCAGCACCTGTACCACCTGCAGACTGGCGAAGGGGCGTTCCGAGAGCGCGGGAGGGGACGAGGCAAGGGTGCCACGAGGGTGAGTAGTGTCTCTGCTTTAAACTCTCATTACGTGTACGTAATTTGATTCTTAACATAAATATATATAATCCTTCAAGTTTTTTTTTTGAAACCTCAAACTGAGGAGATCGTGCTTTTTTAGACGTAATCTTGAATGTGTCGTTTATGATAAAAATATATGGACTTCCGCACGATATTTAAGAATTATCGTGAAAAGTATATACCGTCGAGATGGAGATTGGTCAGTATCAGTTAGTTATCTATTCGCGTTATTTAATTAAAGCTACGACACTTTTAAGTCTTAATACAATTCAATTATCATGAATAACACGTTAATTAATAATAATAATATGTTATATTAAGAAATATAATAATTGACAATTTCCTCCAAATATTTTGAAACCATGAACTAACGGAGATCACTGATGTTTTTATAGGCGTAATCCTAAATATATCGAGGGCATTCTTGATAAAAAGATAAGAGCAATCGATATTTAGGAATTATTATAAAGATTATATATTGTTGGAGGTGGAAATTTGTCAGTATTGGGTGGTCATCTATTCGCGCTATTTGATTAAAGTTACGATATCTTTAACTCTTAATACAATTCAATTATTAAATAACATGTTAATTAATAATAATAATATGTTATATTAAGAAATATAATAATTGACAATTTCCTCCAAATATTTTGAAACCATGAACTAACGGAGATCACGGATATTTTTATAGGCGTAATCCTAAATATATCGAGGGCGTTCTTGATAAAAAGATAAGAGCAATCGATATTTAGAAATTATGATAAAGATTATATATTGTTGGAGGTGGAAATTTATCAGTATTGGGTAGTCATCTATTCGCGCTATTAATTAAAGTTACGACACCTTTAACTCTTAATACAATTCAATTATTAACATAAATAACATGTTAATTAATAATAATAATATGTTATATTAAGAAATATAATTGATAATTTCCTCCAAATATTTTGAAACCATGAACTAACGGAGATCACAGATATTTTTATAAGCGTAATTCTAAATATATCGAGAGCATTCTTGATAAAAAGATAAGAGCAATCGATTAGGAATTATTATAAAGATTATAATATATTGTTTGAGGTGGAAATTTGTCAGTATTGGGTGGTCATCTATTCGCGCTATTTAATTAAAGTTACGACACTTTTAACTCTTAATACAATTCAGTTATTAAATAACATGTCAATTAATAATAATAATATGTTATATTAACAAATATAATTGATAATTTCCTCCAAATATTTTGAAACCTTGAACTAACGGAGATCAACTAACGGATGCTTTTATATGCTTTTAATCCTGAATATATCGAAAACATTTTTAATAAAAAGATAAGACCGATATTTAGGAATTATTATAAAGATTATAATACATTGTTCGAGGTGGAAATTCGTCAGTGGGTGGTCATCTATTCGCGCTATTTAATTGCTAAAGACGCGGTTCGCGCTGCACCGTGTCGGCTCTATTCCGCTGACGTAGGTCTAGCTATCTCTTGGTACCGACAGTACGGAGTTTCAGAACTGATATTAAGCAAGGTGGTATTGATCGACGCACGTTGCGCCTGTCCGCGTTGCACCGCCATGTTTAAAATCCGTTTGCCTTAAGCCGCGTACGAACTTGAGCACGCATACGTCGAAACGTCGCTCATACATACGAGGAACTTTATCAGGATCCATAAGATATTTAATTTTCATTCGCGGAGATGAAATAGAGCAGAGCTTCTATCGCAGCCATTTTAGCGGAGGATCGGTATATATTATCAAACTAAATACGAAATTAGAATAAACATTGAAAATTGAGAGCCGCTCGAAATTTCACGAAATATTTTAATCAAACATGGATTATTCGTCCTAGATTATCAACTAGATTCGTTTCCCTCTTGCCTCGAGTAAAGAAAATATTATCGCTTCGAGAGATCCTGGGTTTCTATCATTTTGTCGTTTCTTTCTCGAATTTCCATTATTCGATGAACGTTCTAGTAGTGCAAGAAAATCGGCCCAACGACCCATGGGGCCTTTTTCTTATCTAATCTGTGAACATGTGGATAAGATACTAACATTCCTCTATTTAACTGCCCTGGTAAAATAAGATAGGGACACGTGCATATTTGCTGACCCCAAATAAACGTCTTTTTCTTTTAACACTTATTTCGTGTTTCTCTTTCAATTTTTTTAGAATAAAATAATATATGAAAATAGCACACACACATTCAGTGCGTATCAGAGTATACTACATTATCTTCAATATATACTAAAGTTCCTAACAAAATAAATATATAAAGTAAAGAAATAATAAATAAATATAAGTACAAAATAATAAATATAATTTATTATACTTGTTTATAGCACATATTTATATTGCATTATTTGTTATAATAAAGAAAGAAAAAAGGCGCATGACAATATGATACAATGGTACAATAAGAAAATGAGAGAGGATTTGGCGTGCAAAGATCGACGAGCTGCGGAGGGCTTAAGGATAGATCCGTAAGACGGTTCTTCGAGAGGGCTCGTTTATTAACGTCCCTGCAACTTGTTGCTGAGCGCGTTGCCATCGGCCCTTCTGACCTCTTTCATGGCATCTCTACCGGCCTCTTCAACGACGCCTTCAGACTTCGGAGAGACAAGTCCGGCCGAATCCTTCCGTTGAATTGATCCTAACGAGCAGCCGATTGAAACATCCGGTTATTTTCTCTTATCCATACCCATGGACAAGTCAATTTCCCCGTAAAAGCATCCCTCAAAATTCAACCATCTCGAGATCGAATCATCTCGCTTAACTAAAATTCCAAATATTGCGTGTAAAATTATATTCAGCGAAATCAGATGCCACAATTTGACGCTGTATTTCTGTAAAGTGTATCATTAACTCGCCAATAATGTTCAATTTGCGCTTAATGCTTTTCCTAGAACGAGCTGCAAGCGCACTTTTTCGTTTCTCCCGATACATAAACATTTCTCTGACGGCGGCAGGTATTCTCTTACCCCTCCAGAGCAGCCCCGTTCTACCCCCTCCGTCGCGTCAGCCACCTCCAGTTACAATGACGCGTTGGTGAACCATCCCCTCTTCCTCATCGTCGTCGTCTCGTCGTCGTCGTCGTCGTCATCGTCGTCGTCGTGCGGCGGTGGCGACGACACCAACACCGACATCGGTCCTATTGCGCTACCATCGTCTATCTATGGAGAGCCATAACGATTCCGCGACGGGAGTTTTGTTTTTTTTCTCTCTCTCCTCTTTCGCGACAGTCGCTGGAGCTTAAGCCGATACTTGAAACATGTTTTTCTCGCGTACAATGCTCCGATACTTTTTTATTTTTCTTTATGCGATAGACAAGCATTACTACTGCTATGGGATTTAATCTAGGTAATAATGTGATGTTAAACAATTATTATATTATTATCGATATGATAGAAAGGGACAGGTACTAATAATTATATGTGCATCATCGTAATCGACGGTAATTTTGACGGTTCATCAAAATTGTCTATTTAAATTTAGTCGTATGTCTGAATTTAGAAGAGAGAAAATTGGATGATGCGATAAAATTTGGAACCGGTATCATTCCACCGCAGGCAAAGTAAGTCGATAACCGAATCAGAGCCCCATCGTTAATTCGATGGCGCGCCGTCTTTCACTTTAGAGAAGGAGAGTCGGTTGGAAACACCAGACGGAAAGAAAACGAGTAAAACAGCTCGAGAAAAAGACACAAAAAGGTTGGGAGTGGAAGGACGAGGAAGCGGGAGGGGAGATCGTGTAAATCAACGTGGGCATACACGACGCGAGTTCGTTCTTCTACATGGGAAGAGAACGGCGCGCGCTTCTTCGCCGAAAAGCTCGTCCGCATGATTCGCCGATGACGATTGAAGAGGTGGTGGCGGTCGCGAAAAATTCGCAACCCTTTCGAATCCTCAAACGGGACGGTCTCGGTCTCTCGCGAACCATATCCTAACTCGCTTTAAGCCGCTTTATCCACCATCCTTCATCTCGCTGTCGCCGGATTCAAGCGAGCGAGTCGTAATCTCGTAATAAACGTTGCATCCCGGAGCGCCGAATACACTTTCGGAGTAACGTTAAAACCCAGTAGAGCCTCCGACTTCCGGTGCAACCCCGGACTCGTCCGGGAACCGGCGCGTCGCGTCGCGTCGAGCCGCGAAGAGACGCTCGACGCAGGAATCCGCGATATCGCGTCGCGATAACGCGCGACGCGGCGGGCCCGCGCGGGGGGGTGAGGGGGTGGCGAGTCGTGGGAGAGAAACAACGAGCACAACCGCGCACACCCACACGCGCGATTGCGCGCTCGTGCTCGCGTTGACGAACGCGAGAGGAAGAGGGAACGTAGAAAGGTGGGAACGCAGTCGGCGAGCGCGAAGAGGCGCGGGAGGAGAAGGTGGAGGAAGAGGCAAGAAAGAGAGAGGAAGGAGGAGGTGGCGGAGGAGGAGGGGGAGGGAGGGAGAGGGCTCGTGCGGAGGGGGTAGCGGAGGAAAAGGGAGAGGCGTCTCATGGGAGTTATTCGGCGGATCGCTCCGCGACCAGAGTGATCTCTCGCGAGTGTCGAGCGATCGATTCGATCGGTTGCCGAGTTCGAAAAGCGGAGGTTGGTGCAGTCGGCGCGAACGCTCACCGGCGGGAGGAAGCTCGCACGAGGCCGCGCGTGACGTACGAGTGTCGATCGAAAGTAGATCGGAAAGGAATCACGGTGCACGCGGGAGATAAAACGCTAGGGAAACCGTATACGCGGATGATATATGCGCATGTATGCGTAAGGATAAGTTGACCGACGAATCCAGGTGTAGTGACTCCTATCGGAAATTCCGGAGTGCCTTCCGGAGCAAGGATTCCGGAGGTGGATCTGGAGTGAACTTTGAAACCGTATTCGGGACGTATCCTCTCCTGCGAAGGATCCGGAAAGTCGACAGAGTGAGTTCCTTCTTCTTCGTCGGCTGTATGCACGCGAATATTTCCCTTTTTTCAATTTTTCTTAAAAAGATTTTCGACACGCGCGATTGATGACACGTGTTTAGATTACGCGATAGCGTTCCCGCTTTCTTCGGCCGGCCGGCAAAATCCGAATCTTGTCTTAATGTCACGTTTTTTTTATGTTTTTTACGTGTAGTGGACATTGATAAAAGCACGAGAAAAATTAAAGAATTTATTTGTTGTTCGATCAATCTTAATTTATCAATCGCGTAGATATTTTCGAGAAAGCACTTCCACTTCAATGATTATGATCGGCGCAATACGATCCTGCCTTGGTATATCTAGAAAAAAAAAGTTGGATGATTCATGAAAAACTCAGTCTCGAGGCACTTTGTATATGCGAATGCGATGTCTCGATCATACTCTGATTGCATTCTAACAGCTTGCATTCCTATTTAACACATAGCTTTTTTGCCCTCTATCATTTTAAATCCAACAAAATTATATAAAAATATGAAAAAAAATCTTCCTTTAATAATTCAAATATGTATGTATATACATATACATACGCATATGCGTAGATAACGGTCGGTTAATTTTATTTATAGCTAAGTCACATGTTGAAATGTCGAATTTTATCGATAAGTCGATAAATTAATTTTTGCACAATATAATCTGTTACAACCGGCTTGATATGTTGTAACGAGTCGTTATAATTGAACAAAGTATAGTGTGTTCGGATTATATAAGTCAACGCACGACTGGTATCTCGACAAAACGGAGCCCTTGCGCGTCAAGGACCAACTCGTCGAGCGCGAAACTGACTTTACAAACCGCTGGTTACGCAAGCGGCATCCGTCTATCGTGATCGCGGAATTTAGGTCAAACGATGTATCCTCCGTTACTATCGGTGGTCCGCGAAACGTCATAAATTCCCCGCTCGTTTATTAACTTTTTACCGTTTTATCAGCGCGCGCGTGCACGCCAACTAAGCAACGATCAAGGTAATCTATAATGGAGAAAAATAAACGCGTTGACCTGCGAGTAATGCGATCGATCGAGTTCGAAGCGAGTTCGTATCAACGTCGAGAAGAATAACGTATCCGCCGTGATTTAAAAGACACGCGGTATTTGTAGCGAAGTTAAATTAAGACTCGGCGATAAAGTGATTCGAGAAAAATTTTATAAAAATATTTCAAATTTACTCCAGACAAAATATTCTCATCCTACGCTTTTTCTCGATTAATACAGTGCTTCGTAATATTCACTGTTCAGCACATTTTTGTCGACGTGCTCTCGTAGAATCTTTAAACTAAGCTCGCGTTGAAGCTTACAACGTCTTATATAGCACATCGATAGCATTCATGTTGCTGAAACGAGTATTGTACGTATGCACTTATACTTTCATTTAGCTTAAGTCAACAAAATGTGAATCACCACGAGTGGAATGGCCGACGTTGACGTTGAAATCGGGTACTAGCGGTCGGTCAATGCCCACGCGCTAACCACGTGGTTTGACAGGGCTCCGTGCTCAATTATTTCCAGAGCTCTCGCTCTAAATTTGAAATAATTGACGATTCAAATCCGTCAACGTTTGTTGCAGTAATGCCGATTCGATTGTCATGGTAATAGAAATGAAAAAAATATCATTATCGACGAGCGTCACGGATGTACGATATAAAAACGCTGACGGTGATTGATAGTATATTGTTCGTTTTAATATTTAATCATATCTATCGGCGTCACAAAAAAATCTATAACGGGTGCGTTATTTTTTTTTCCGAATCTCGAAAAGCTGCACGCACGAATAGTCATGGATAATTGGCTATTCGCCCGCGCATGAGAAGGTAAATCGCAACAACATCTAAAATAAGTGGATCAGCCGATCCAAACCGCCTCTCAGAAAGGTCAGCCGTCTTGTATTACACTTCCTGATCGATGATTGACGTTCGAAAGAGAATCCATCATTCTTTTCCGGACGTATTCAATGAGGATTTATCGATAGATCGAGATCGGCTCGACGTGCGTGCACGAAGAATAAAAGCGCCTCAAAAAGGGCTTCCTTCGTTTTTTTCTTCCTTTTAAAAGATGAATCTTGTCGAATGTATAACGCTGGAAATTTTTTTGAAGGAGAAAACGCTCAGCTCCGATTATATAATATGTTGTTTCTGACGTTTGATCGAAAACGGAGAAAGTGCAAGTTGCTCTTGATTTTTTTATATGCAGTATTTTTGATGACATGTTGTTGCATTTTGATACGTAAAGCTGAAAATTTCTGGTGTTCTGAAGCGTTGATCATCAAGCGTCTCAGCGTGTGACAAATGTTTCGTGAGGAAAGGAACTCTCCTTGCAAGCTCAGCGTGGGTCCGACGCGACGTCTTGTCTATTTATAAACCGATGCATAATATAACACGTACATGCTCACATACGCGACACCATGCCACGTGTATCAGAGTGCGATTCTCGCACTTGATGGCATCGCGCCACGAGAAATTGACCATGTCATCTAATAGATGAAATTCATGAAGAGAGACATTCTGAGGGGAAAACAACAATCAGCAGCTTATAGTTCGATTGACGATGCTTGTTGAACTATGGAAACCATTTCAGCCGCCTCGGCCTACTTAAGCCGCGTCGTTATTTTTAGCATTAGGGTCACACCGCCATATAGCTGGCTCTAGTAGTACCATCTTTTCTTCCTACCATTCGAGTCGACTAACTTTCTCAACCCTTCGCGTCGTTTTTATAAGATTACGACGACCATAACTCGATTTACTTATGTCTACATTAAATAAAAAGAGAGTTTTCTCCATAAAATTAACGACTCCACAAATAAAAATTTGAAAAAATATAACAATTAAATTATAATTAAAAATATTATATTTGAATGAGACTTCATATCGCTTAAATATAGGTATGAAAATTTATTCCATTTAAAATTGATTCTTAAAAAATTCAAGGAAATAGATTTTCTCATAAAACTAACGCACGTGTTTTTGTGCGAAACTTTGAAAATAAATACGGATTATGTTTGTTGCAGAGTTATCGAAAGATTGCACGGCAAGTTAGTACGCCTGACAGCGCACCAGCTGGTCTTGGTAGTCCGCAGGCTGGTATCGGCGGTTTGCAACAACAACACCAGCAACAAACGCAACAACCTTTGCATCAGGCAGATCCCATGCAGCAGACCAAGGACAATCTCAATCCCGCGGCGAACCAACAAACGGGCGCCTTGAGGAACGGCAACCCGCCACCACCCGTCGTTTCTATGGTGAGTTTTTATCCAAATTGTTTCGATTGACGCAAAGGATAGTATCCCTGTTGTGGATGTCAGCTTTTTATTAAAAAATATACGTTGACCGTTTTATATTTAAAAGATTAGCTCGAACGTATAAGACGTGATGCCAGATGCGTTTGCCAGACATTATCGAATTAAAAAGGAAAGGAAAGGAAAAATATTGAAGAGAGATTTTTCGCGAGGATTTAATCGAGCCGATTAGGACGTGTAAGGACTAGTTTTAACATTTCGTGGAGTGACGTTGCTCACGCGACGGTCCATGGCTGCAAAGGAATCGACTGCCGAAATAGCGGCGTAACATGGAGGGCAAGGGTAGACTACCGGCAGACAGTGAGTGCGGGGGCGGTGACCGGCCGCCAACGCGAATCAATACCCGCAGGAACAGGAACCACCGACCTACCGAGAGAGACGAAGATAGCGAGAAAGAGACAGAGGGAGAGAGAGAGGAGAACGACGTGTCCCGGGGACGAAAGGAGAGAGAAAGAGAGGAGCGATGAAAAGCGAGCGGTATCAAGAGGTGGAGCAGGAGTAACGATAGGAGAAGCCGGCGAGGGTAGCCGTTCAAGCACGGGAGGGGGGAGGGAGGTTCGCTAGGTACACTAGGGATAAATCTCTCGTTACATTCGTATATGAGAGATCTTTTTAACGTTACACGTATTTGAATATCTCGATTATCAATGACGACAATTTGATATAATCTTTGCTTCTTTTTCCCTCATAAATATTTGCGGATACTTGAAATAATGGTCGGCGTCAGTGTCAAGTCCATACGAGTGTATTTTTGCGCCCCATCGTTCACACGCGACGCGCGTAAAATCCTCCACGTGTGTATTCTTTAATGAAATAAACGAATCGATATGGCAGAGCGATATCGCGCGTCACATCGCTTCGCTTCGCATCGCGTCGGCAATAAATTCGTAACCTTGTGACTATAAACTCAATGTGTTTTTTAACACCCACTTGATCGTCTGCATTCGACGTGAATCACTCTTTTTTACATCGATGCGTTTAGTTACAATTCGTCGTGTGGAGACGCGGGAAAAATCTCTCTTGCGAGAAAGGCCATTGAAATCAATCAAATAAATTCGAATTACCACTTGATCCGAATTCAAGTTGAATTAATAGCTGTAATCGTTTCAACGATACATTCTCCCGTCTGATAGTCACGCCTTGTACGGCATTCATTATGCAAAAAATACTGCGCTCTATTCCACTATCGTTACAACGATATCATTTTTAATTAAGTGCGATAATCGTATACAACAGATTTATAAACCCAGAGGTAGAAATACAATACGGGCGAAACGCATTCATATCGCTTCTTTCCGTATCGCCGTTGCGTTTACACGTGCGACATTTTCATTGATGACTATGTATCCGACGTTAATTGTGCATTTCGCGCGTTAAACGCGGCTATATCCAACGCACGCAAACACGTTCGGTGTCGGGCACGAATACGATAATTGCTAATGCCGCGGTGATAAAGGAATCAACGTTACAGCGGCGTATTCATTGGAACGCCCAATTATGCAATAAACCGAAACCGCGAAATGCCGTTGCCCGATTGTTGCCGGTACGCAAATTGCGAATTGCGAATCCCACCGCGACGTGTAATGCGGTTTAGCCGCTCACGGATAGCGAGAAATGTACGAGAGACGCGCGAGCAGAATTCTTTTTCGCGACATCAGACATCGTCGATCGGATCGGACATCAATGTCAACATTTACATCGATTACATCGAGCGGTACTTCGTGCGCGATGATGCATTCGCAAATGCAATACGAGACCGAGAACGGGAGTAGGTGAAAAGTCGAGGTCGACAAACTCCCCCGGGATATCCGCCGGAAGGGCAACTTGGCTCCCGAGGGTTATGTTTGGGTGCTGTCACAGAACGTTCCGTTTTATCACGCCAGGGTCTTAGGTTGCCCTAGGTCACGATGCCACGGGAACGGAAGGATTTTCTCCCTGAGGGAGCGCGCGCGAATGTGTGTGCGTAAAGTGGAAGAGGAGGATGATACCGTGGAGAGGAATCCCTCGCCTCGCTTGGCGAGACGCCCAGGTTCTTCGGCGCTATCAACCTCGACCACAAACACCGATTCACGGTCACTTTTGAGGGTTCTCAGAGTTTCTCTATGTTCCGAGAGAGAGAGAGAGAGAGAGAGAGAGAGAGGAGAGAGAGAGAGAGAGAGAGAGACAACTAGAGCGATCGAACATTCGGCATGAACGGCTTGTTTCAATAGCTTGTCGCGACAACGCGTTAAATGTCAAACGATTAAACAATATTAATATACTCTCTTATTTCTATACACGTTGTATTATTATATTTTGATAAGTGCGAAAATCACAAGTCTTTTTATTTAGTTGAGTGGAGTGCATTTCAGCACTTTTACATTTTGGAATCGCGTAAGATCACTCGATTTAGGGAGCGGAATCGATTCGTTTTAGCTATCTAAAAGCAATTAAACGCAAATCTTGTTGTAATTTGAAGTTTAAATGTTCGCTTACGTTGTTTTTGCTTTGACAAATTTCGCTCTTGTAAGATCGCCAACATATTTGCGCGCGCCTTTCGAGGGCAATCGTTGCGAAAGCGGATGACAAAAGATCGGCCGCGGTAAACGAACCAATCGTCCTGACTCTCGCTTCTCTCGTTTTGTGTTGTACAAAGTTTTACAGTCTGGTTGCGAGGTTGCCGGCTTTCCTCTTCTTCGCCTCGCATCGCTGCGGACGGTTGGTTCCTCTCCGCCTCGGCAGCCTCGATACCGTCCTTTTTTCCCCTTCGATTCCATCTCTGTCGATTCCAGTCCCGCACACCGAGCCTTCTCTTTCTCGCTCCATCTCGTTGACGAAGAAGACGCGAGACAGGGAGGCAATGCCGAAGAAAACGAACAAGCGAACGAAAATAAATGAAAGTGAATTCGTAGCTCCATTTTTAACCGTGCGACGCATCATTTTATCTCGGCTGCGATTGCTATTATTCTGTTATTATTTATTATTTAAGTAAGTTATTATTGTAATTTATTGTAAGTTATTATTAATATAAAATATTTCGCATTTTTGCAAAAAAAGTATGGAAATTGTTTAAAGAGAAATGCTAGAAATAAAACTTGAACGCAAGAATAAAATATCGATTCTAATATAAACTTTTTCAATTCTCGGCATGTTTCTTCAACGGCAAAGGAAATTTCTTCGCGAATAAGCTGAAATTGGAGGAACCGACAAGTGACGGAAAAGTTCTTGAGTCCTTCTTTTTTTATGCGCAGTCACCCGGAGTAATGCCATTTTACGGAGATTCCGGTGCTGGCTTCCGACCCGCTGGTTTCGGAAACACAGTTTGGCATCAAGGAGTCGGACCGGTTGGCGCCGTCGCAGTCGAAACGTCACCGGCACCGTGGCCACCTCAACAATTCATTCAACAGATTTCCGCGCCAAATCAACTTGAAGAATTGAGGTATCATACTCAATATGGCGCCGCAACACCCTATCATCCTCAAACAGGTGAGTGCAAAACAAGATAAATATAGAGCGCGGAACGTTTGCATCAAGTTTTCTGAAAATCATTGTAAATGATTGCAAGTGAGAAATGTAAGCAGTATAAAGAATTTTTTTTATACTTCTTTATATCTATATATAGTTTTTCTTTACTTAAATATGGCTTACAGTATACATTTTTTTCTCGTTAAATATTTTTTTTAAATGTGACTTACCGTATACATTTTTTTCTCATTAAATATTTTTTTTCGTGTGACATTATATAAGATTGCGATAAGTGTCTTTCTTATCAATCTATTAATTTGAACGTTGCAGTCTCATATCAGCAGCAAACATTCATACCGGCGGATCAGTCTGCATTTCAACGAGCCGGGACGACGGGACAATACACCATCACGGGACAGCCCTCACCACTGGCTCCAGTTGGAGGACAAACAGTAGTTTCGACATCTCAGAGGCAGTTGAATGGACAATTTGTAGATCCTGCAGCTTCCGCTAATCAATCAGTTGCCTACGAAAGACAGGATTATGTAAATGGCTACCAACAACAAGTAAGAATCGCTGATTAAATAACGGTTCCAGCTTATACATTTAATTACAAGAATGTCTTACGACTTTCTCGTATTTGTCCTTATTTTGATAGCTATTCTAAAGCTCATCATAAATCATGTGAAGCGTTAGCAACGAACGCTACACGTCCCGTGGGCTTCTTGCAGGAAGTGACGATGGCACCGCCTCCATCGACAACGCCGACGAGTCGCAGCAGTTCGGTGCACATGGATAGTCAGCAACAGCAACAGGGAGGTCCACAGCAGCCATCGCAACAGCAGCAGCAGCAGCAACAACAAACTCCCACGGATACGCAAGTAAAAGGATTCGCCACGATTGCCGCCAGTAACGTGTCGGGAAACGAGATGCCTGGGTATCCACTTCAACCGGACCCACAGAGTTTACACAGCTCTAACGGATATCCAGGCTACGTGGAAATGGGTCAACAAACGCAGAACCAATGGCAAATGGTTTCGCAGCAGCAACAACATCATCAACAAACGCAAATGCAACGGCAACAACCAGCAGTTGACAATAATCAACAACATATATGGTCAGATACGAGCGGAAAAATGAGCAACAATGTTAACAGTAATTTAAATTGGCAAGAAAGAACGATGCAACAGCAGTCGCATCATTCCCAACAAAATATGCAAGGTAATATAAAACAAGTGGAGCAGCAACAGGCTACTCAAATGCAACAACAGGAACTGCCGAGACCGGCAAGTCACATGAGCTGGGAGACTGGAAGCGTAAAGGAACCCCAAACACCACAATCGTGGTCAGAGAACGCTGACAACCAGCAGCAACAAACTCAGGGAAACTGGTCGCGACAAAGTCCAAAGCTAAGGGATCCACAAAATTCACGGTTAACGCCATCCAGTCAGCAGCAGTCGTCACAACATCAGACGTGGCTGCAGCACTCTCCAAAACTATCAGATCATAATAGTGCTCAACAAAGCGCAAGAATGACGCCTTCTATCCAACATAATTGGCAGCAAAATAGTCCGGAAATGCAAGGATCTCAGCAGAATCCGAGACTTACGCCCTCAGGACAACAGCTACAACAGCAACCGCAACAACAACAACAGCAACAGCAGCAGCACAACAACAACAACAACAACAACAACAACAACAACAACAATGGACGCAGCAGACCAAAGTAGAGCAGAATCCCAGACTCACGCCGTCCAATCAAATGTCATGGCCCGACACGCCGACTAGTCAACCGAATTGGTCACCAAATAGCATAAAAAGTGATAATAGTCAACAGCCACAGCAACAGTGGCAAGACTCGCAACCCAGTCCTAGACGAACTCCAAGTCATCAATGGCAAAATCAGTTGACACAGGAGAACAAGTTGGACAATCGAATGTCCTGGTCACCAAAATCGGTATCGGAAAATCAACCGAATTGGGGGCAACATACGACAAAGCAAGATATGCAAAATTCTGGAGAAAGAATTGCGTGGCAACAACAACAGCAAACAACGGTAGATATTAACAAGCCGAATGGATTTCCGGAGAATCAGGATAATCCGGAAAATAGTGTCTATACTCAATCTAATCGAGTCAACCTTAATAGTCGTCTAAAATCGATGATCCTGAATAAACAGCAGCAACAACAACAACAGCAACAAATGCAGCAGCAGACATTGCAGACTCATCAACATCATCAGATGCAATCGCAACACATTAATAGTAACAAAGGATCTGCTGGAGAATATTCAACGGATGATCAGATACGCGATGTGCATGAGAATAGCGAAAAGATACAAGAAAAGCGCACGGATCATTTTATTAATCAATCGAATATTATTTCGATGTCGCAATCTAACGAGAACTTGACCGGTAATTTTTTATCGCATAGCCACCACCCTCGGGTAGATAGTTTGCCCGATGGTGGTGGCTTATGGGAATGGACGGGAGGAGAACATAATCATGATAACAATGATAATAACAAGGATAACGGTAATCCTGTATTACCGTCAGAAAATGGAATGACAGCTCTCGAAAGCTTCATGAAGCTTGCTACAGAAAATAAGAATGATATCATTGATCGATCGTGCGAGAACAAAGAGAAAAATCAACAATCTTGGGAGACACAGAGGAAAGACAACGAAGATCGAAACATAGATGACAAGTCTTTTCAGCAAAGATTATGCATAGATCAAATCGCAGACACGTCTTTCGAGGAGTCTCAAAAGACATCTGACAATGATGAAGTGAAAAGCGACAACCTAGATTTCTTAAAGACGACAAGTATTACTGTTCGTACGTCTTCCCAAGATATTGACAAATGCGACTCCGATCATGCCATCAAGCAGGAGAACACCGTGGATTACAATTGTAATGGCGATACGTCTAGCATCGCCGAAAACGAAGAAAGCAGAAAGATTGTTCCGGATTATAAATTCCGCGGTGATGGTGGTCCCGCAAAAGTATCACCGGAAACCGGTTCGTGGTGCTGTCGAAGAGGTGGAACCAAACAACCGAGTCCCGAACATCTAAAGGATGGCTGTTGCCAGGGTCTTCAAACCAAGGATGAAATGTTGGCAGATTCCCCGCAAGCAGCCGAGTTAAAAAACGAAGGGCCGCATAGTCCGCGCACTCCTGCCTCCGCGGCAACCACGACGACAAAATTGCAAGACCACTTGGACAAACTGAAGAATAATGTCAGGACCGAAGTACCGGACTGCAACTGCTTCCCTGCCGACAAATGTGAGTTTCACAATTGCGTATTCCGCATTACACTAACATTGAGAGAACACACTAACCACGAAACCACACGAAAGGAAAGTTATAAACGTATATTAATATACATTTTATGGCCAATAACTACACCGACCGATTATGCGTTCCGAAACTCGGAGGAGAATGTGCGTACCTAACCTACCCCCTTTTGCAAGGGCATACCTACCACATGCGCGGCATAAATGTTTCCGCTTCTGTTGCTTCCTTTCGTTGACGCGTCGGTCGCTCGTAAGTAAAATGAGGTTCAACCACAAGGTCCGCCAGAGCCCGGCTCATACTACACTCATCTCGGGGCGGCTGCAAGCCTGCCTGATCTTCGGAACGATCTTGAACGAAGAACCGGCCTTAAAGGTGATGCGATAAGGTTCGAAAAGGTCATCTACACCGGCAAGGAGGGTAAAACTACACAAGGGTGTCCAATGGCCAAGTGGGTAAGTCGTTTTCTCTAAATAATGATTTAGGATGTTGTTAGAAAACGAACAAATTATATCAGCAGTGGTTCTTTTCACTTTTGCAAAATTGTAATATTAATAATCTGTTAGATTATCCGACGATCTGGCATGGATGAAAAGATCTTAACTATCGTCAAACATCGTCAAGGTCACAAGTGTGCAACTGCCTGGATCGTTGTAGCTATGGTTGCCTGGGAAGGAGTGCCAACTCACGAGGCGGATCGAATTTATTCTCTCTTAACTCACAAACTCAATCGATTTGGTCTTCCAACGACTAGACGATGCGGTACTAATGAACCACGGACTTGCGCATGCCAAGGGCTCGATCCTGACAATTGCGGTGCTAGCTTTTCCTTTGGCTGCTCTTGGTCGATGTATTACAATGGCTGCAAGTATGCTAGAAGCAAAACCGTCCGAAAGTTTCGACTGTCTGTACGATCGGAGGTATACAACTCGAAAACAATCTAAACGAATATCGAGAGATTCGATTTTAAATTATAACGAAAGAATTGTCTTCTAGGAACAAGAAGTCGAGGAGAGAATGCATGTCTTGGCAACACTTCTATCACCTTTATATCTTAGCCTCGCGCCGGAAGCCTTCAATAATCAAACTCAATTCGAACGAGAGGCAAGCGAATGTCGGTTGGGATTTAAGCCAGGTCGACCATTCTCTGGTGTTACAGCTTGCATTGATTTTTGCGCGCACTCTCATCGGGACCTACACAACATGAATAACGGATGTACCGTGGTACGTGAATTCGATATATCGAATCTGATATTAATCCGATAGATTGATGTAATATTGTTTCTTCAATAATATCAAGAAAAAAAATATAAAGCTAATCATTTTATAAATATTAAAACATGTTTAATTTACACACATCGTGGTATTTTTCAGGTAGTTAGCTTGACGAAACATCGGGCATTGTCAAAACCTGAAGACGAGCAGTTACATGTACTACCTCTTTATATAATGGATGATACAGACGAATTCGGTTCAAAAGAAGGACAAGAAAAAAAGGTTCGTTCCGGCGCTCTTGAAATTTTATCCAAGTAAGTACTTCTTGAAGAATCTGGAATATTGTATATGAGGATCGCGTAAAACATTTTAATACACATATAAATGCACAATTGTGACTTTTGTTTAGATATCCATGTGAGGTTCGAGTTAGATCGGTTCCGCTTCAACCTTGCAGACGTCATGGTAAAAAAAGGAAAGAAGACGAATCTGATATTTCGAATGGTAAAAAAGATACAGTCAAAACCTTCTCAGAAAAAATGGTAGACGCTGGACGTTCAATGGGGCACGCGGACTCTTCTAAACCACAATTGAGAGAGTCGCAATTATCGCTGGAGATGACGCCAATGTTTGAAGGAATTGATGCGCAATTACAAAGTTCTCAGGTATCATCTACGGTCTTAGATAGTCCGGTATCCATGTATCAAGGTTGGGGATCGTACCAGACTGAGCAACAAGGATGGAATCGAAATGGTTGGCTTGAACAGCGAAAAAATAACTGGTTGAATCCATGGGGAGATTATCCCTCGTTTAGCGGTCTAGAAAGAGACATCAAAGTAGATCCAGATAGTACTAGTTTAGATCCAGATATCAGACCTAGGAGTACCGTTTCCCAAGAAGAGCATAGACCGAGCTCAAGGAATTTAGCTAACTCTACAGTGGATTCAGCCAGAGGATGTTATGGAAATTCAACTAGAACTCATCCCATTTCGCCTCGTTCTCATGCGAATGTAGAAACGTCTTATAGTGCATCATCGAGAAGCTATGCCTCGATGCTTCACGAACCAAAGATGATTTCGTCGAAAGAGCTAGAACATTCAAACGTGGAAAATAATTATAATCATCATATGATATCTGGAAATTATCCCGTTTCTGATAATAGACAAAATGACTGTTCTCCGAGAATAGGTTCTCTCAATTCATCGTTCGATGTGGAAACCACACAAAACGCTCCATCCAAGATAAATCCGTCGCCAAATATTCATCATGTTCGCAACACGGGACAGGATTACATCGCTAATCAATTAAGATTATCATCTCCTAGATACACGGATTCTAGTCAGAAATATTCAAACAATACGCAAAATTATATAGATGCTGAAAATGCAGCAAAATTATTGAGACCACAGACTGAGCAAACGTTCACAAATAGAATGCAACATTCTTATCCATCGCAACAGATGCAATCACCCATAAATTCCGGCTATCCAAATCAATATGGCGACGGTAATGCAGCAAATTTATTCTCTTGCGTAGACAATAGTAATCATAAGTCAATGGATATGCCAAGCACAGACATTGTGATGCATAGTTCATTGCATTTGCCAACATTTGAACAGCGAAATGATGCGCAATGCTCATTGATGCCGAATGATCAACGAAAACCCATTTATCATGCGCAAAGACAATCGGAATTAAAGCCCTTCGTGGTTAATCATCCTGTATCCCCGTCTTCCAATCAAGTTGTCTGTCCACGTAATTGGAATATGACGAACTCATGGGGTTGTAATCAAGTTAAGAATATACAGCAATCTAATGATCAGCAGATAGGTGATAAAAAAATCTGGGCCAATAAACTAACAAGGCCAGACCAAGCCAAGACTACTTCCTGGGAAACGCCATCTGAACCGTCGCCATTTCGAGTGCCAAAGGGAAGACCGCCCTCGCGAACAATATCGAATCAGAATGCATCTACGGAACTCAATACGTATCCAAATCCTTTAAACAAAACATTTTTAAAACCATCAGAATCGGCAAAACCTATTTTTGCAAATGCTCTAAGTAACAGCTCAGTCCAAAATGGATGTTTACCCAATCAAATAAAGAATAATTACACAGAAGATAAAATGCGAGAAGGATTCTACGATGGTAGACAGGAAGTGTCTAATTCCAATTCGAATTCTTTGGCTTGGGCCGAGGAGATGAAACAAGTACAGGATTTTCATGCCATGTCTGGTTTAAGTCACCATACGTTTCCTCAATATGGATATCCGACCTATCCAGTATTCGAAAAATCTTACGCAAACTCATGGGAAGGTTACAATTACAATCATCAGTCGTATCAAACCCCGGAATATCCCCAACAGTTTTATCAGCAACCAAAGCGCGAAGGCTGCTTCCACTCGTCTCAATATCCGTATCAGGGCTTGAATCCAACATACCAAGGTTTGAATTCCGGTTGGACGAGGTGGGACGCACCGCGGTGGGATATCTATGGACCGCCACCTTACTTTCCGGTAATACCGGAACCTCCGCCAAAAGCGGAGCCGCTTGGTGAAGTAGCGGACTATTCTGAAAACGAGGAATGCTTCAAAGATCCGCAAATGGGTGGTGTTGCGATCGCTTTGGGTCACGGCAGCGTACTCTTTGAGTGCGCAAAGCACGAGATGCATGCCACCACCGCCTTAAAAAAGCCCAATCGCCTCAATCCAACCAGGATTAGCTTGGTATTTTATCAACATCGTAATCTAAATAGACCCAGGCACGGTTGGGACGAGTGGGAGGAGAAGATGCGACTGCGAAAATTGGGCGTCACGACGTCGACCATCAGTAGTATGTCATCGTCGACGACCAATCCATCGACTTCAACCACTGCGACAAGTCCTAGCGGATCCATAAATGGAAAAACAACACCACTTCCATCACTATCCCACATTCCAAATGTTCCCAGCTCACAGTTTATGATGAGATCACCCACATATACCACGATGACTTGGACGACGCTCTTCCCGATGCACCCGTGCATGATAACTGGTCCATATCAGGAAGGCGGTGCGATTGGATGAGTCGAGGTTGGGCGATACAACTTCGATCGTTGATGATTGAAGCTTGTATCGAGAGAAATGCCAGAAATCGAATCTAACAAGAGGATCTAAGATGCAAGATCCTGATGAGAATCGCGACGTCTCCGATCGAGGATGAGCGATGAGGCGGCGACTTTACCACGAGAGGCTTTATATTGTTATTATCGTTATAGTTAGTTATTCCGAAAAAAAACGAGAAACACAATTTGCACTGCCATTTTTCTATTTCGGATTTTACGCAGGATTTAAACATAGCGACAAAAACGTGCTCGAATAAAGCCTCAGGTGTGATATCACTCTTTATCGGGGCTCGCATTTTATATTGACTTTTTACTGAGCTGAACTTGACAAAGGCTCTCGCAATCGAGCCGGAGGCTGCAAAATTGAGATGACAATTGATGAATGACCGAGGCTATTGACGTATCAGAAAAGCTCCGATGAAAGGCTACGCCTTGCGAAGACTTTGATACGATAGATTTTCGTATTCTGATCCTGTACACTTTAAGTAATATCGCTTACATATAACGATTTCGTGTTGGTAGAATTGTAACCTTATTAGCTAGTCGAAGTCTAGATGATGAATCACGCGATGTCACACGTATACACAGAGCACACATTAAGCGTATTGCACACTCCAAACACTCAAAAAAACTTGCACGATATAATCTCAGAATTATCGCACTTTCGAGAAATTTCGTAAAAGATAAAAAAGAAAATAAAGAAATATTCATCGTATAAGAAATATCAATTATTTGAATTAAATATACAATGAAACTGCTGGATAAGATATCTTGATTGGACACACACTATATATATATATATATATATATATATATATATATATATATATATATATATATATATATATGCACCGTGGCCCATTTTAATCGACGCACCTGAATATCTCCGTTGGTAAGCCAAATACAAAAAAATTGTTCAGACAAAAGTTGTATGGTTTCAAGGGGGACATAAGATGATTTTACATAAACCGTAAAATATCTTGTAAAATATTCATTTTTCGATTATTTTACCTTAATACTTTTATGTACAAAATAATGAGAAGAATCAATTGGTGTAAAGAAAACACATAATTGTTTCGAACAAAAAAATGTAATTGTTAATTGCAAATTAAAAAATGATTTCAAGCCTCATAACTTGGAAAGTATTTAATGAAAACTAACTTAATTATAGTGTTTTGGAAAGCTCTTCAGATGAGCTACAAGAATATGCGAAAGCATATAGGGTGTCCCATTTAAAAAGTTGGAGCTGACCTTCACGTGACCTTCAGGTGGCTTTTCAAGATCAAACTAATGACACCATCTTATGTCCCCTTTGAAACCATACAACTTTTGTCTGAACAATTTTTTTGTATTCGGCTTACCAACGGAGATATTCAGGTGCGTCGATTAAAATGGGCCACAGTGTATATACAGAGTGTTGAAAAATTAAGTGCCATAAATTTGTGTGATGAAAGAAGGAATCAATATAAGCATTTTAAGTATAGGAACCGTGGGTCGGCGACGCTTAGTTACGGCGTGACAAGGGTTTAATTAAATTGTCACAATGTCTGCAATACAATGATTTTATTCGGTTAATTTTAGATGTTTATAATAAATGTTCGAAATTACGACCGCCAACGTTCCGACAAAAATCAGAACGACGGAGCAATGATTCCCGCGTTCTTTGGAATATTCCAGGAGTTTGTCGGATAGTTTCAGACGCCTCAACGATACGAGCGACCAGATCCTCCTCGGATTCAACCGGTTCGGAATAAATCATATTTTTCATTGCACCCCAGAAGTAGAAATCGAGAGGCGTCAAATCTGGTGACCTTGCAGGCCACGCCACAGGTCCATCCCGCCCGATCCATCTGTTGCCGAAAGTCTTGTCACGCCGTAACTAAGCGTCGCCGACCCACGGTTCCTATACTTAAAATGCTTATATTGATTCCTTCTTTCATCACACAAATTTATGGCACTTAATTTTTCAACACCCTGTATATATATATTTTTTTATAATATCTCTTATTACATATATCATTTAAATAACACATATATTGAAATGCTTTCAAGTTTTAATATATGTTGATTTTAAATTTCTTTTCAGAATCTATCGAAATGAAAAAGAGAGGGCGATAATTCCGGGAATACTTCTTTTTATTCGTTAGTTGAACGATTCTTCGCGAAAGTCCAAGCACAATCCTAAATATCCAAATGAGGACACGACGACAATGATCTCAAGTCTTTAAATTAATTAAACGATATGTAATGTATATCTGATTTTTAGCCTTTGTACATTTCGCTTCTTATTCTCGTATTTATTTACGTGTTTGTACTCGTAGCTAAGTACTAAGTACGATTAATTCAAGTGACAAGCGATATAATACTAACCATACACCCTTCGGGTCGGCTGAGTACAAAGCATTTATCTAACAATCACGTGACGCGTAGAGTAGGGGTGGTGTATCTATTGGTCCGCGATACACGTTGGACACGCCAAGTGTTGTCTCCATCATCGATTTGACGTTCTTCCCTTACGTGTGTTTGTTTCACTTCATTTAACTCTTTTCACTCGATCTAAAAAATATTCGACATAATTTATTAAAATTCGACAAATATATCAAAATAATTGTGTATGAACTAGTTTTAAAGTAGAGTTTAAAGGGTTAATCATTTTCCAATATGAGCGATGACATTTGTACTTGACATCTTGTCGAAATAAAAGGGATAGATAAGAATGGTCGAAAACTAATTGGTGCGACAAAAGGAATTTACTCAATTCCTCTCTGAGATTTGACGCGTGATCGTATTATTGAATTAGTAGAAATGGAAAGATTCGATCTGTGACTATCATGTTCTCTATTATTCTTGATTTTATTTGTACATATTAATCTTTTAGCCTGAGCCTGTTGCAAGCGGTACAAGGCTAGGCAACAGAGTTCAGTTGATGACCTTTGATATCGAGGGCCAACCTCTGGCGGTATGTCGATTGACTTCTTGATAGAGAATAGATACCCACTGTCATCGTGGAGAGTCTCTTAAAGGATTTCAATGCCGTAGATCGGTGTCTTGACACCATGGTAGCGGATCGAAATCAACTTTTTTGTGCGCATGGATTTTTGTTGCGTATAGAAAATCATTAGATCTTAAAATAGCAGATTTGTTGATAAGAAATGTAATGTTAGCGCATTAGTACATCCGGACTGTTACTTGTGACAAGACTTTTTAAATTTTCACAGTTTGGCGAAAGCTAAGAGTGTTCTTCATCCCGTTACGCTCCTATTAAACTATCGAACACATTCCATGTTTCCGTTAAGAGATCCCAGTAATGTCTTGACGGTAGTTTTTGCACTTTCCATATTCTTGACTCATGCTTTCCATATTCCTACATTTTCGGAGCTTAACTTGCGTTATTTCGAAAGGAGTGACGGGCAGGAGAATTCATCATGTTCTTTAAAAAAAAGGATATCGCAGCCTTTCTCTCAAGTTGCTTGACCTCCCTCAGGGAAGATTGAGAAGTGTAGAGGAAATGTCTTTTTATCGAAAATACGAAATGTCGCGTTGAATTTTAAAAATGCTCTCTTCGATGACATTGGATAGTAAGAAGGTAGATAGAATTGAATCTGGAATGTTAAGAATCAAAAAGGAAAACGGTAAAGCTTCTCGCGAGGGGATCGTATTGTGATCCATCGTCTATGTTTAGCAGAGTAGTAAATAGGTATCTAGATACTCTATCTGCGGAAAATTGACCAGAGGAAGGTAGCCAAAGCGTGGAAGAGAATGCAAAATCGAAAAGGTCCACTTATTTATTTATTTTCGCTACGTTATTTCAACGATTATTTTCGATTTTTTCAAATAAGCATTTTACAGCGCAAAAATTTGTATTTTAGCTGATAATGAAGAGTGAATTGTGAAGGGTTTTTGATTTTGGCTCGCGTATCAGTCGAGTCCTATCTTTCCTTTTTGCATTTATGTCCGCAAATCGGTGAAATGAAAAAAAGAAAGAAGCGAGACGCGACCAACCCTCGCCTACTGGAGTATTATAGGAATCATTAATATATTATCATTCATTAGTTATCGCATGTAATAGTAATAGTAATAGTAATAATAATAATATCGGCAACACAGTAATAACTAGTAATATAATCTCTAATTTAATGTATTATTTATTAATTAAGTTTGATAACGTGGTGTTATACCGTTATTCTATTTTTTCAGCAAGCTGACGACTCGAGTTTCGATTGAGATTATCCGACTTCTCGTGCGTTCCGGTCAATCGAAATTTTTTTAATTTCGAAAATATTTTAATGTTACGTTGATTTTTTGCTCGTATCACTCTTCTCATAAATGAACAATCTCAGATATACGCACATATTTTAATCGAAAAAAAGGTATTAATCAAATTTTTTCACATTTTACATTCATTCGTTTTTTCATTTTTTATATTTATTAACTTTCATCGTATATTATCTCTTGAATATTTTAAACATGATTTAATGATTAAATCTCGAGTTTTTATAATTTTAAAAAAGAGGAATTTTGGATGCATATAAATAGATATTTTTATTAAAAAAAAAAAAAAATCGATTCCGGCAAAAGCACTTGGAAATGTCGCGATACATTTCACATCGAAAATCCACACATATATACTAATTTTCCAATCTATTCCAAAAAAGTATCTCCGTTCTATAAGCTATAAGTTCGCTACTATTTCTTCACGTGAAATTGATAGAAATGCGTACAAGTACGGCAAATGGGATTATTTCAAACGCAACACTCGTTTCTTTCGTTTCACACGGATACACGCGCGTACATTCGGTACGCGAGCGAGATCACTGATACATTTTCTAGATAAGGCAGCTTTTTTCAGATGGCAATGAGAGTACAATGTAGAATATCATCGGGGCCCGATGGCTTTTTTAACATATACAACCAGATTATCCTCCTCCTCGAATCGTTCCGCAAAAATGACAATACAATGACAAACGCGATATATTTGTATCGAATTTTGATTAAATCTCGAAACGCGCGTTTCTCCCATAATTCTCGGATCTAATAGGTGTCGCGAACTCTATGCGTGTTGTATGTTATGGTCTATTGTAAAAATATTTTATTTGGTATCGATTATAGTTAAAGGATATTTTGAATCTTCTCTTCCCCCTTCCCCCGTAACGAAGAATAAATTATGATTTGCCTTTGTTGTGTAATTCAATAATAAATAATTCAGTTAACACTTTGAAAGTATAATGAAAAAGAAGCATAAAAGTTTTTGCGACACCTGTTGCATTCTACGTGCGAAGGAAATCAAAATTCCATATCATCTTCCGGAATAAATAAACTTAGCCTTATGATGCACCTTAAATGCCATTATATAATTACTACTTCCACAACTGTCTATCTATAAATATATTGAAAATCGTTGTTCTTGCTAAAAAGTTTTTTATAAAAGGGAAAACTTGAAATACACACAGTTCGACGATGCCAAAATAGTATTAAATAATGAGGAAGTGTTTGTAAAATAACAATAATTAATATACAAGAATAAAATAACCATTGCGGGTGTCCGAAATATAGATTGATATGCAACGATAGTTCATGCCCATGATTATTTTATTTCTTTGTTGCAGGCACAAATTTATAAAATTAAACAAATGCGTACTTTGTGAACATTTCTCAGATGCAATTTTTATAAAAAATTATTTAATAAATTATTTAATGACACAAAGCGATTGCGCGATTTTTCGGGCGAACGAATCGTTGCATAGATCCCTGTATAAGGAGGAAAAAATCTGAAATCTGATTAACAGAGATTAATTAATTAGCGAAAAAGAGGAGTTACGATTGAAGATAGAACGACGGTGAATTAAGAAAGAAATAAACGTTGAAGAGTGTATTTTTTCTTCCAATGCCAAAAAGATGCCATTTTGTTTTATACAAAAAACTTTATGAGAAAACCCAGAAAAAAAAGAAATAAACGGGCGAGTGAAAAAGAACGGAAAGAAAGAGAGAGAGAAAGATAGAGAGAGAGAAAGAGAAAAGTGCGAAAATAAATTTTTTAAATAGTTTATAGTAAGCGTATGAATGTGTAACAATAAAAAAATAACAAACAAAAAAGCAAAACTAAATAAGTCGATGTATATGTTCCGCGAAATCAATTTTACACGCTTTATTATTGTATGATTAATGGATTAAAATTAGCGTAATACTATATTGTCATAATTACAAGCAGAAAAGTGAACAAAATGCAAAATCGCACTTTCTAGTGTTACCTAAAGACCAATTATATCACATCGATTAACATTAAATTCTAATCAATTAAATTTTCCTTTACTCTCTTTGTATAAGTATTATGATACTATTTACAGGCAAATAGCGAGCACATATATCAGTTGAGTTTGAAATCGATTTGTTGATGTAATTCACAGATGCATGTTGTAAGGATTGTAAGGTATAGCGTTACATATACACCGACCATATATGTGTATATATATTTTTGGATAAAGCCATGAAAAAATTTTAAATCGAAATTCGGGCGGGGACGTGCGAGAACGTGGTCATTTCTCGATGAATTAATAGTTTTTCGCCAGATTGGCCGAGATACATTCTTCCTGAGAGAGAGAGAGAAAGAGAGCGAATGAAAGAGAGAATGAGAATGAATGAAAGGGAAAAATAAATAGTCGAGAGAACCTTCACGCACGTCACTTCCCAATGTATTTATGAATATTTATTTACGTGAAGAGTGGAAAAAAATTTAATATATTGACGATTAAAGAAATGATTGTAAGTTATAAGCGTAAGTTTTCTAAGAGCCATAACTCTTGTAAAGCATTTTTTGTGCGCGGTAGTCGCGACACGAATCGAAGCAAAATGAAAATGGAAAACAGCGAAAGCAATGGAATAAAAGACTCACTTTGGACGAAAAATAAATGAGGACGTTTCAAGTTCAGGTTAATAATAAATTTCGTTCAGGATGCACAGAGACGCGTCCACTTAAGATTGAAATATGCTTAAAGTACGATAGGGAGTATATGATATGTATAAGTAATAAAATAAATGATTTTAGCTATCGACTATTATCAGCATAAGAATACATTTAGACAAAAATATGTGGTAAGACAGATGTAATTGTCCTTTGTGAATATACATAAGACAGAAATGAAAAATACAAAAAACTTTTATGAGTACAATCGCTCTCATTTTTATTCCTATAATTAATTCCTTAAGAAATCGTAGTGAATGTATGTATATATATATATATATATATATATATATATATATATATATATATATATGACAATGTATATGATGCTATATATGAAACTATATAATGCATTTTCTATAAAAATATCGTATATAGTCGAGTATATAGAATAACAAATAAATAACTTTTCTACTCTCTTTTTTTAATTCTGTACTTATTTAACAATAAACTCACTTTTTCTTTAATTCAACAGATAATAGAGGTGACTGTTCTGGCTGTGAGACATTAGAATTCTCACATTCTTTTTTTAGTTCGAAAATAATGTGCCTAATAGCTGGTATCCAGGTACGACAAGCAGTTACATGTTGCGTCATAAGAGCAATATGGATCTTGTTGGCTTGTTCAATATCTTTCCTCAACAATGCTGAAAACATACATTACTTGTTAAAAAAAAAAAATATATATATATATATATGTAGAATTAATATATATATATTTAATACCAATATATTTACATCAACATATAAATACAAAGATCTTATCAATACCTTTCGATATATCCAAAACACTTCTGTGTATCATATTATTCAATTTATTTTCACGCCAATCAGTTTCCATGATATCTAATCTCTTCTCTATTTCTTCTATCATATTCATCTCCATCTTTTGTCCTGTCATTACTGATTTTAAATTGGTCAAAACTTCTGTAAGAGCTTGATCTTTATCAAAATCTGAGTCCAATGTCATTGTTGTAAATTTTTTATCCATAGATGCCACAAGAGGCTTATAGGGAGCTGTAGTTATCGTAGGAACCATCGAAGATTGTAAAATGGGAGGAGTATTTGACGGAAGAGATGAACTAACTTTTTCTGCAGTAGAGGTCTGTGAAGATAATGGAAATGCCACTCGCTTGTTCAAGAGTTTCTTCGTTTTAGAGGAATTATGCTGTAAAGACAGTGCCCACTCTGGTGGATCGTTCCAACCAGAATCGTAAGAAGATGGCAGTGACTTTTGGCTGGACACTGTATCATTTGATGAGTTTTTTTGCTCCATTTCTAGGTTAGATTTGACAGCTGGCAAACAAGATGAATTAATTTAAATGAAAAATCAAAATGCAGATCAATTTCAGAGATTCATAATATATGTGATCAAACAATGTATAGACTATTCTTTGCTATTAATCGAGTTGAGATCCTGTATATCTTTCGCTTACCTGCTTGCCGAGTCGAACGAAATTAAAATTGACAAATTTTTATATCTAACCATTACATGGCTTTCTTTATCGTGCGATAATATTGTTTCTCATATCGATCAAAATACGTATATACTATTTAACCTTCTATTGTAATCTTTCAATCATTTAATTACAATGCGCTTTACGTGCGCATATTTCCAGCTGTTTATTTAAGCAATAAAACGTATATATAAAAAAATCACGTTCAGTAAATACAAAAATATAATCAATCACACAAATCCCGTTGTCATATTACTTATTCTCTATTTCCATTTTATCTCTGTCTCGTCACTTGTCATCTTCGTTACATTGATGCCAGAAGCCAGAATGTCCACGCTAGCAACACGCAACCGCGAGTGGAGGGGGTAACGGTCATATGAGCGATTCATGTGTCCGTTACCCCCTCCATTCATGGTTGCGTGTGTAGCCATTGATTTAGCGTGGGCATTCTGGCATCACTGATTACATACATTGCATGATCACGTGACGATACGTAGAATCAGAGAACAAGTCTTTCTCATTCCCTTGTCTCACTCACTTGTCACGTGTGAATATGAATGGGAAAACAATGCAAAAATGAGAAATGATGAACAATAGAAAAGCAAAGAGGTAAATAATTCGACATGATTAATACTAAAGAATTTCAAGTAACGTGCGTTCGTAAATGAACTCGAAGCGTTTCTATCCTTCTGACTTTTAACGATATGTTTAAAGGCACCTGCACATAAAACGCGATAGTTGTAGCGACGAAAAAGCGATGCGATAATCAATCGTCACGTACCACTGAATCTATTTTTAGAACGAAAAACGAAAAATAAAAAACTGACTATTGTGTGTAAGACAATAATTTCGTAGGCTTACCGCGACATGTGCGCATAAAGGCTCGTATCGAATTACATGAAGATTAAAGATTGAACCAATCGGAAGGGCGAGAGCCTTTCCGAAAATTCCTTTGTCCTGATGGATCAAATTCCAATTTTTTTCTCATTCTTCAACGCGCAGTCTGATACGGGTTTAAGGTCATTAACGAGAATGATGAGATTGTGTTTAATTGATAAATCTTTCAGAATCATTCTCGCATGAAAAATAATCATTGAAATCTTTGAATAAGATATATCTGCAATGATTCTGAAGAAGATATATTTGGCTATTTTTATTTTGTGCTTTAACATCTATATAATATTTCGCAAGTTGTGTAAAACCACGTTAGCCATTCGTATAAATAAAAATATTTGTTTCGAAAGTACGTGAATCTCTGCGACACGTGAGATCACGTAGGGTCATTATAATGATTATTCATGAAACTTGCCTTAGAGAGAAGTCGAAGCTTCAACACAAGACATTTAGTGATTGTGCGCTATGCACTGTTATATTTACTTCTAAGTTTACTGGTTAATATTTTATTAGTTTTTTTGTGGTTTTTAATATAAATTTTTATATTATATTATTTATATTATATTATTTCTCGTATTATATTATTTTTCGTATTTTAAAAAATATTAATTAGTAGCACTTAACAAATCTTACATAACTTGCTTATATTCATATAATATAAATGTGAAGAATTTACATATAAAATCACGCAAAGATTGCGCTATGTAATTTTGTAGTTACACCTGTATATAACAGAGAACCTGTATATAATAGAAAACAAGTTGTTGCTTTGGTTAGTGATCAATCTACGTCTACAAAGATAAATAACGATGAGCGGAACAACGACACCTTGTACGGAATCTGTAGACATGGTGAGTTCTTATACAAATAGTCATAATATCAGCTGATATTTTTGACTTCTTGTGACCACGTGAATACATTTCATCATACTCGATTTGCCGAATTTTGAAGTAAAATAATGCCAAATTATAACCATGACGATAAAAATATATAACAGACATTTAAATTATTTATATAGTTCGAATTTCATCAATCATTTTCTATTAAGCGCTACTAATGTAATTTCGAGGTTTGATACTATTAAACATTATAATATAGCACATAGATTCTTACATTTTAATTGTCGATTCGAAGGACTCAAATTTTAGAACTTTCAACAGAGACGTTATAATAGTATTAAGGTCATCTTAAGTAAACGCGTATTTTAAAATATCCTTCACGAGTAATATTAGTGAAAGATTCGTATTACGTAATTCGTAAAAGTATGTTTGTGCAATACCTAACGAAACATTTGTGTGTGTTCTTTCGGTATTCTTTAAATATTTCACTTCTTAAGGAATCGTTAAGCTTGAAATACTCTTAAAATGTCACGCAATTTTAGATTGCGATAATGATCACAAATAGTACGCTCACTTGACTATGATTTCATTATAAATGTATGAATATGATTACATATCAATGTACAATCGCGAATATTTCACTTCTTAAGGAATCGTTAAGCTTGAAATACTCTTAAAATGTCACGCAATTTTAGATTGCGATAATGATCACAAATAGTACGCTCACTTGACTATGATTTCATTATAAATGTATGAATATGATTACATATTAATGTACAATCGCGAATATTTCACTTCTTAAGGAATCGTTAAGCTTGAAATATTCTTAAAATGTTATGCAATTTCCGATTGCGATAATGATCACAAGTAGCACGCTGAGTTGACTACGATTTCATTATAAATATATTAATATGATTACATATCAATGTACAATCGCAAAGTTCAAATTCCTTTAAGGATGTTTTGTATGTACAATCCCAGCAAAAAGTAGCTGAAATTGACGAATATATCCACTTTTGGTGTATTTTGAGTTAGCTACAGTGCAGAAATGTATTTTTTAAATATTTATTGCGTTTTTACTGAAATATTCCGAATTTTGTTAATCGAAATAATTAACTTTTGGCAGAATTTCGCCTTGTGTCAGATACATGGCTAATTTTATTAAATATCTTTTTAACCAGTTAGTACTTGTATAATATTATTTGATCAAATATTTCCTCTGTATCTAAATTACACTTTTGCAAATTTTAAACAAATTCTGAATATTATTTCCATGTGTTTTTGTTATTTGAATCGACGTGGTTATAGATTTCCCATAAGAACACATGTTAATTCGGTGCAAGTTAAAATCCTTATAATTTGTGAACGCTTTAGTGACTCGATTTAAAAATTGTACTGAAGATTCTGAATATATGAAAGAACATTCTGTACAATTTTCATTTCAAATTCTCAATATTTTGAAAATAGGTACGAAACATTTTTAAATATTTATCAAATGAAAAAAAGATATCAGGTTCTTTAGATGACTGTGAAATATTGTAACATAAGTTTATATTAAATTATATATTTAAATTATAAAAAATTATAAGAGTCAATTTCTTGAGCAACGAAATAATCAGAATTTTGTTAAATAACAAAATAATCATATTCAAACGATAATTATTTTAATTATTTCCAATCCTTTCCGCCTTAATGTGCACATGTGCATAATCTCTGAATGCACATGCGCATAATCTCTGAATAATGTAATAATGTAATTGATTATTTTGCATTATATATATCAAATTCAATTTTAAAAATTATTATTTAGATATTGAAAATAATGATGTGAGATATATGGTATAATATTCTTGTTATAATATGCTATTGTAGCTCTTCTTATTCTATTGTGATTTTCAGAAAATTACCGGTATAAGAAAAAATAACAAATATATGTATTTCATAATACGACACAAGATAAAATGGTAATTTATCTGTCATTTTTAATTACATTATAACGACAGTACATAATAATTAAGGAAACCAGTATTTATTTTAAATCTTAGCATTTAATATAAGCAATTTTTTACGTAATAAAAACTTGTTCTATATATTAAGACTGTTATAGACTATCATTATTCGTATGATTGAGCACTGAATGTAGTATGAGCATTATAAACCACATACGCGTAACTTGCACTTTCGACAAGGAAGTGAAATGGCATGCGATAAAAAGACTAGGAGCTCTCTCTATTTCTCTCTCTCTCTCTCTCTTTCTCTTTCTCTCTCTATTTTCCACTTTCCAGATCGTTAACTGCGATTTGATAACTATATACGTGAATATGTATCAAGTATGTACAATAAATTGAAAAATTCTTTGAAAATATATTTAAAATAGTAATTGTCTGCCATTGTACGATTTAAATGCTGATAATTGTACAATGATTAAACAATTTTTAAAATATATATGAACGCAAGCTAATTACTATCATTCATTATTGTTTCTAAAATTTCTCTAGTGTATATTTAATATAATGTATATTTAATATCTATTTAATGTATATTTAATATATGTATTTATGTACATATTTATTTAACGAGTGAGTCAGAGATAAACAATCTGACAAAATATATTTATTGATGAATTACTAATACTCGTGATATTTTGCATTTAGGATGATGTAGTATTGGAGATTCCGACAGATACCGAGCAACATTCCGATGACTGCCGCATTAATATGCAAGAAGTTGTTATAAATGTTTCTGAACTAAGTAAGTAATTCTTTCATAATTTATTTTACTAAGGCTATAATCTTAAATTATAAGAATAAGATATATATATATATATATATATATATATATATATATATGTATATATATATATATATGTGTGTGTGTGTGTGTGTGTGTGTGTGTGTGTGTGTGTGTGTGTGTGTGTGTGTGTGTGTGTGTGTGTGTGTGTATAGGATACAAAATTGAATTACATTAGTAAAAAAGTTATTATTTCTTTAGCCTTTCCAAATTTATTGCGAAAAAATTGTCATAATTTAACATTTACATAATATAATAATTACATTTTTGAACAAGTTTTTTTTGTAAGTAAAGATCACCTTGGCATAAAAATCTTTCATCACTTGTTCTTTCACCTTGGAACGATAAATTAAAAATAGATGAGACAAAGTAAGGATAAATTCACTTAGCTATATGTATAACTAGAAAATTACATATCTAACAATAAATGGAAGACGAACGTGTAATTTTCTACTTAGCTACCGTATGTCACGCATAGATTATTTACTGATTGACATTGATTTCTTTCTATGAATGTATAACATTGAATTTTTAAATAGAACAATCAATTTACTTAATTGTCAAACAAGGATAAAATTTATAATTATATAAGGATAATTGTGTGATTCTGTTATCAATTTACTTAATTGTCAAACAAGGATAAAATTTATAATTATATAAGGATAATTGTGTGATTCTGTCACTTTTATCTGTAAAAGATAATTCTGTAAAAGATAATTCTAAAAATTAAAGCTAAAATTTTCAAAATTTTTAATTTTAATTTAGAAAATTCTGAAGTCCCAAAAAAAGAGAAAGAGAGAGGGAGAGATATGAAAAAATTTACGATTTGAAATTTTATGCGAATCTTGAATTCAGAATTGAATAATTATAGAAAATCAAATAATTAAATATGTACACTAATTCATACAATTGTGTGTAAGTGTATATATTTTTAAACTACTTTTCACAACAAGTTCACACAGCTTTAGATTAAAAATTAAAGATTTTGAAAGATACTGTTTTATATTCCGAACTATCCCCACCACATATCCTTGAGCCTTTCGCATCATCAACTCACCTTAACCAGTCTCGAATCTGACAACCTCGAAACAACACTTGTGATATAGAGTATCTATACGAGAAATTAATAACACACACACACACACACACAAGTGCTATATTATCTCAAATCATTCAACATCTATTCATAAAAGATCTTATTTTTTTTCTTCTATTATTGGTCAAAAAAAATTTGACGATATTAATATAACTATTGTATTACTTAAAAATTAATAATTGCAGTAACGAAAAATTATTCGATATTGATAAGAGATATTGCTTAGAATTTACTTGCTATAACGAAATATTCTAGTTAAAGATATTTTTCTGTGAAATGTCGAATGATACTGTGAATACATTAAAAGCGGACTGTGTAAAAATACATGTGCATCCAGTACCACGGAATAATCATCACAATGGTATGCCTTTTCATATTTGAAAATGATACTTTAGCTATCGTTCAGCAAATATATTCTCAGATCACATTTTTAGAAAATATGTTTTAATATCTTCGAATTGCTTCTTCGATTTTAGTTATGAATTGTGCTTAAAAAAAATTCGATAAAAAAGGATTATATAAAACTTGCAAAACCGCCTAAAAAAATAAAATGATTGTAGTATAATTAATGTGTATAATTAATACGCTTTTTTATACTTGATGTAATATATAATACTTATCATACAAAAAGAGAATAAGAAATTTATCTTAATATCAAAATATATTTATTACTTCCAAATTTTAGTGAAATCAAGATTTTCAGGAATTAAGTTTCAAGAGAATAATTAAATAAAATTAAATAAAAATTTCGTTCATTTAATTTTCAATGTTTCATGTAATTTTCAATCTTTAATTAGCATACTTTTAACTTGACACTTTAATTTGACACTGAATTATTTAAGTCTCGAATATTTCTTTGAGAATATCTAATGCATTTCTTCTTATATAAATATAGAATAATAAAACTGGTTTTTTTAAACTCATTACATAATAAACTTCCTTCTAAAGAAGGTAAGTGTTAAATCGTTAAATTAAAAAGTCAGTTAATAGTTTTGTAAAGGATAAGGTAATTAAATGAAGTTTCGCACCAAGAAAAAAAAGATCTTGCAAATTATAAAAAAAAGAAACTTACTTCCATATCCAGGTGAAAGTACGTAATATCTAAAGAATGTAATGCCCTATAAGGAAATGCACGTGTGAGACTGGTTTGTAGATAACTATCCACCCCACAAAACTTAAATTTTCACCCTTCACTTTTACTCGGCTAGTTATCCGCGAACTAAGTTTTAACATGAACGTCCTATGTTCTACATTTTATGGCATGGTAATTTTGACAGGTGGTACCCTCTGACGACGGTTATTAATAACCACCTACGACTTTTTTCTCAATATTTATTTATCGATATATATATATATATAATATACGCATGTATGTACCTTCAGTCACTTCTCATGATCTTGAATCCTCGAGCATCTGACACTTCTTAGTTGCAACATTTCTCACTCTCGGCGCTCCTTTCGCTCCCTTCCTTCTGTTTTTCTGAAACACGGAGATAACAGAAGATGAAGATACACTTTGTGCTCCTACGTTGCATTTTAGAACTTAGTCTATAACGTGCAATTGTACGTGCTCGTGCGACCATTGAGTTGTGCCTTGTCAACTTAACGATTAGCTCTAACGATTTATACGAAATAGGAAGACAGCAAGTACCATGATGGGTAAGACCAATTGCTATCGATTTTCCATAATTCGCGTCAAAAGTACGGATATATTATCGTTCAAATAATCTAGTAATAATGCAATTTTAAAATTTGACTGTGCAATATTTTTCCTTCATATTTTTACATAATTGTTTCTTGTGAATCATGTCATTATCATTTGATTGATGTTCTCGATGGCCATGAAATGACGGCACGTAGTCATTACGTATTACATTTCAAGTTCCATTATTCCTGACATGTTTATAACTGGTTTTTTGTGAGTTTAGCTCCAATAGTTGAGACTTCTCAATTTACGTATCTCGATAACGAGAAACATCCGAATGTTATCTGCATACAAAATAAATTCTAGTGTTATCTGCATACAAAATATATACATAACGTCTTAGATCATTCCTTTACATCTATATCGATTTTCGTTTCTTTCTCTCATTCATCTAATAAGGATATATTTATGTTCTTTAACAGAAGCGTGATGCAGCACAATATTATTTCTGATTCTTTTGTTTTCTTTTCCTTCTGTCATTTCGTAACTACAATGTACAATAACACAATAACAATATTGCAATACAGTAACAATATTGCAGAACACTAAACTGATAGATGACAATCTTTTTTAATATATTTATAAATATTGTCTTGTAATCTTAGTTTTATTTATAAATGTATAATATTAAATAAAATAAATATTAATATTTAATGAAATAAATATAATATAAAATAAATAAAATAAAATAAAATAAATTTATAATATTAAAAATGATTTTAACAATTTCTATTTTTTCTCAAAGTTTCACCTAATTTTTAAATATTTTATTTTCGATGAATTTTTTAAAACATTAAATTTCTTATCGAAATAGCTTAATCTTTCAATTTTTTAAGGCTATTTGAATCAAATTTAACTTAATTGTTGATAATTTACAATATGATATGCAGCAAATTAATTTAAAAATTTTTAATATATTAATAATTACATTGTACATTAGAAATTTTGATATCGGTGTCATCCTATAAGTTAATCAATTAGTATTGAGAATTTAGTCAAGGTAGTAACTCTTAGCTTAAGAGATATATATAGGAAAAAGAAAGTAAGAAAGTATTATAAATTAATATTTTCGAGTGAAATAGATTTTTGATTGCCATGAGAGTGATTTTAGACCCAATTTGCGACTAAAATATATGTTTGAAAGTAGATTTTGAACTGATTAATATAAATAATGTAAAGTACAGAAAAGTAAAGATCTGATTAATATAAATAATGTAAAGTACATTCGATTTCTTTTGCTATTTTAGCTTTAAATTACAAAAAATCTTTGCCATGATTGATCAAGCAAATGCTTTCTATTTATTTCAAGGATTAATTTAATAATGCAATAGTAGCTTAAGAATTTATATCGTCATTAATCGCTTTCGGAGCAAACATATTTGCTTCATTTGAAAACATTATAATCAGTCGTTTATATTCAGAGTCACATTTGAAGATATGCTGATGGTAAACTGACAATGATATGCATTATTCAGGAATAGATAAAGCTAAAAATATATGTAAACGTTTGGAACATATTTGATTACGATGTTGCATTATCATATTATATACATCATTATATACATCATAATCAATGATTACGATATTGAGAAATTTGTATTCATCGAAATTAAATCGATTTCAACATTTATAAAAAAGTCTTTAAAAGTATTTCAAAATACCTGTATATATTTAAATATTTTAGCTATAGTTTAATCTTTCAATATGCTCTCAAAATATATGTACTCTATATTTAATAAATATTCAAGGTTGGCGGTTTTATTGTTAAAATGCATTTTACTTTTAAACGAGATACATTCGACTGATTTATTTCGAATCGCAATAATAAAGCCTTTATTATTTTTTCTTATTTATTCTTTATTTACTCGCTGTTTTACATTCAAATATATACACATACATTTTACATTTCAAATATATTAAGGCTAATTACTTATTTATAATTTTAGTAATTTCATTGTTTGCGCATTTTTTTATAATATCTTTATAGTCTTTATAAATTATTATTAATAAATATTATAAATTATTATTAATAAATATAATAAATTCTTTATAATCTTAATATTTCAATATTGTAATTTAAATAAATCATTATACAGGCGCCAAATAATTAATTATGTGAATTAATTAAAATATACTATTGCTCACGTAGCACATATTTATAAATGTAAAAATAAATTTATCAATATTACAAAAATAAATAAAATAAAAATAAATTTTTAAAATTAAATATGAAAATTAATGAGATAATATTTGCATTTCTTTTTAACAAAAACTTATTTTGTGTAATTTTCTTTAAGTAGATTTTTTCGATATTAAATTGCTCTGCAATACTAGTCATTTTATCAAATATTTATTAAAGTGAAGATTTATCGAAATTAATTAAAGATATAAGAATATAAGATATTGTGATATGTTAATGTCCTTATTATTCTTTTATTGAAAGAGTTCTTGATACATTTATATAAAAGCTATTTATTAAATAATTCAATCTTTATAAATTTGGATTCAATTTTTTATTTAAAAAACCGAAATTCAAGATATGCCAAACATTCTATCTTATTATTGTATGCGTTTTTTATAATATATATAATTCAAAATGAATTTGTATACGATATGGATTTAGCATATAATTCGTCGTTACTTCCGTAACTTAATTATATATTTATGTTTCATTCATTTCTTATATTTATAATAATGTGAATTTGCAAGGTTAAATCAGTTGATGTGTAAATCAATTTAATTTACATATATCTTTTTAATATTTAAATTAAGGGTGTTAATATTTAAATTAAGGGGAATATATTTTTAACTTCGCTGTATATTCCTGAGTCATGATTCGGACGCCGAATATTTATTTGTTTCAGCAAATGGTAAACAAGTGTCAGAAAATTATGCTGATGTAAGTACTTTATTGAACATATTTAAGAGAATTATTATTTATATATGCTGTCCTTGTATTTATAATTTAAAATAAATTAATTAAATCTGTTTAATTATAAAAAAACGAATTTTAAAAGATGGATCAGCATTGTTAATAAATTATTAATTATTTATAATAGGTAAATCAACGATTGCGGGATGCATTTAACAGAGGAAAATCAAAACCGATAGAATGGAGAATCAAACAATTAAAGCAGATTTTACGTATGATAACGGAAACTAGCTCAGATATTATAGCAGCATTAGCATCAGACTTGCATAGGGTATGATATAAGAAAAATGATAAAAAATTGCGTTATCTGTATATATAAAAATGAAAAATCTTGTGTTATCTGTATCTTGTATGAAAAAAATGATGTCACATACGATATTATCTTGACATTATTTTAATAACAAATTTTAATCGATAATTTTTCAGAGTAAATTTGAAACGTACGCTTTAGAAATCGATTATATAACTCAAGAAATCAAATACATGCTCATGCATATTAAAGAATGGTCAGCAACAGAAAAGGTAATAATTATTTGTATTATTTTCTTATTCGAGACGATCTTTTGATTTCCGTTTATAAAATGATTTCAATGTTCATCTGATGAATGTAAAAATTTGAAATTTATTCTTGCAGCCATCCAAAGGATTATCGAACCTTTTCGATTCGGTGGAAATTCGGAAGGATCCCTATGGAGTTGTATTAGTTATAGGTGCATGGAATTATCCTCTTCAGCTAAGTCTATTACCTATGATAGGTGCCATGGCAGCTGGAAATTGTGTGATTTTGAAGCCCTCCGAGGTAGCTATGGCTACAGCGAAATATTTGTACGAAACTATTCCGAAATATTTAGATATGGTACGTAGATATGCTGTTTTACACAAAATACTCACAAATTCGGAATGTTAGAGAAATAATAGTAGAAAAATTAAGCTCTAATAAAAATGTTTGCAATTTTTTTGTGTTAAATTGTAAAAATAAGAGAGAAAAAAGAAAATTTTTGAATATAAAAATACTTCAAAATTAGCCAATTGCAAATTGTTAATATTATTATATTGTAAAATATTAATGATTGTATACTATTGATGCGTATACTGACTTACTAATGCTAGAGCAAAGATTAGTTATCTTTTTATGTATATTCTCTTTTCTATGAATCATATACATTAACAGTAATAAGATGCAAATAAGCAGATAATGTTTTTTCCAGCATGAATTGCATAAAAAGCATGATTACATCACTATGGCTGCGGTCAAAACTGCACTATGAATGGTCCGAAACATCATTCTAACTTTATTTTCATGGAATGTAGAACAAAGATAGAATGATGTTTCAAAGCATCCAGAGCGTCTTCCCGACCGCAGCCTATATATGCAATTCGTAAATGTTTAACTATAATTTGATTTAACAATTTTAATTCTACTTTTATATCTAAAATGATTGCTCGAAATTGTAAAGATTCTTATTATTTATCATTTATTGTATACAGGAATGTTGCCATGTAATATTAGGAGGAGTCCAGGAAACAACAGAGCTACTCAATCAACGTTTCGATTATATTTTTTATACCGGATCTTCCATGATTGGAAAAATCGTACGGAATGCTGCCAATAAGTACCTGACACCTGTTACATTGGAATTAGGTGGCAAAAGGTAAATGTAAAAAGCTGATTATATATGTAAATGCAAAAAATGCAAATTTAGTTGCATTTCTCTTTCTTTCTCTTTCGTATGAAATGCATTAAGCAACGATGGAAATTTTTAGTCCCGTATACATAGATAACACAGTGGATATGGCGATGGCAGCAAAACGTATTTTGTGGGGCAAATGTATAAATGTTGGTCAAACTTGTATTGCGCCTGATTACATTTTGTGTACAACCGAGGTACAAAATAAACTTGTTGAAGAAATTAAAAAGATTCTAAAGGAATGGTACGGCGAAAATGCACAAGAAAGTCCTGATTTAGCACGCATAATCACAGATAGACATTATCAGTAAGTTTATTTTACGTACACGTAATCAAACTTTCTGATCATTTATAATTTCTAAACTAGTATTTAATATCTCTATTTTTCTCAATTTGATTAAATCAAACAATTATTTCTTTACTTTTTAGGCGACTTGTCAGTTATTTAAGTGGTAATGGCAAGATTGCCGTTGGTGGCGATACAAATCCTACAGAGAGATATATCTCGCCTACAGTACTCGTTGATGTCAAAGCAACGGATCCTATTATGCAAAATGAGATATTTGGACCGATATTGCCTATAATAAATATTGATAATGCATATGAAGCAATTGAATTCATTAATAAGCGGTAAGTTTTTTAATTGATATTGTAAGTATAAGCCAGAAGAGATCCGAGAATAACGCAATGGATACTTTCTTCTAAAATAACGTGTATTTTTTAACGCGACTTTCCCTATAATTAAACATTTTAATCCGAACCTATTTTATTCTTCTTTTATAATTTCATTATCGAATAATAGAATTTTATTTCAATCTTCAATATTTGTAACAAAAAAAAATACTCATGCGCTCGTGTTTTACATCGATGAGTTCATTGTTGCATATGAGAAAGGCACGAAGTAATTAGTTTTTCGCATCTAGTGAAAGACCACTCGTACTATACGTATTTTCCATGAGCAAGAGGGTGCAAGATTTAATTATAGACCAAATCTCCAGCGGAGCTGTATGTGTCAATGACACGATATTGCAATATACCGGTGAGTCCGGATTCTAGGTGATGACATTGGAATTGTTTCATTATTTATTAAAAATTTTGGAAAAAAATCGTGAAGCAGAGATTAAAGGAGGATCTTCTATTGTAATTCTTTCACAATACTTTTTCCTCGTGCTTGGAATGCCTACCTGTGACAATGACATTGTACATATTTCATCGAAATTAATAATAATCTTTCTTTGGGGAAAATGTGGAAAATAATTGTAATGTTTAGAAAAATGCGCATGAATCTTCCAAGTTGCTTAGAAAGAAATGCTTTTTTATTTTTCATTTAGAAATGTATGAAAAATGTATCCTTTCCTTATCTTAAGAATAATACTATATACTCATTTCTTCTAGTTTTATGTGGGATAAAAAATACTATTATTCTACCAAATCAGATTTCTCATTTGTATATATGTATATAAAGCTTACATCTATGCATGTACATATAAAACTTTTCTATTTTTATTTATACACATATTGTATATAAAGAAAAAGAACTGCAAATCCATCGTTAAACTGTAAATTTTTTTTATAAAATGGAACACACCTAAAAATGATAACAATTATTATTAAGATATTATATTCAAATACACATTCAATATAATAACTGTTTAATAATAGTCTGATTCAAACAATATCAGCTCAATCAGTACAAAAATAAAAGATTTTTAATGACTTTTGCAAATTTAATAGTATAAAATAGTATAAAACATAATTTCAAACAAAATATTCATTATTACTGTGTATACAGCCACATTTACGTTATCATCCCTGAATTATCAAAAGAAGATACAATAATGTTCTTAATTCATTAATTATTTAAACACACAGGGAGAAGCCATTAACATTGTACTTATTTAGCCAAGATAAAGGAACTATATCTGTGATTATAAATAATACATCTAGTGGCGGTGTTCTTGTCAATGATGTAATATTACATGCAGCAGGTATTTTTACATAGCTTGTGTTGTAAAAAATTGTTATAAATTCTGTTTGAATTTTGGTTATTTTTGGTTATTTGGTTATTATTTATTTTTTTAGAAATATTTTTCTTGTTATTTAATGTTTCTTGTATTAATTATAATTTTTTGTTGAATTGTGCTGGGAAAATGGTATATGCACATTATGTAGAAGCAGTACACAAAGAGATGCATGTATATGTATATAGGAAGTGCACGTTTCAATATATGTAGGAATTCTTATGTCAAAGCATTTCTATCCTTCCGTAATCTTTCTGCACTATTTTTATTCCATTATTTATTAGTTTAGTTTATATATATATATATATATATATATATATATATGGTATATATATTCGCACAAAATATATATATATATATACATATCATAAATAATATTTATATAATTATTCCTTTATTTCTAGTTATTTTTATATGCATTAAACATAAAAACTTTAAAGTTAAAATTGATCAAAGTGGATGAAAAAAATAAGAAAAATAAAATATAATACTAATAAACTAATAAAATATTGTCATTCTCATATTATATTTCAAAAACTATCATTATATATTATATTCTCAGTTGAGACTCTACCCTTTGGAGGAGTAGGAAATTCTGGTATAGGAGCCTACCATGGAAAATATACATATGATACATTTACCCACAAAAAAGGTTGTTTGATCCGGAATTATAATAAATTTGCAGAGATATTAGGAAAGTAAGAGAATCTTTTTTTTTATAAGTATTTATCTTGCATTAAAGAATAATTATATATCATAAGTTAATATCATAGAAGTTATATATCATAGAATAACATATTCTGCAATAATTTATTAATCAATGCTTTAGCTCTTCAATATTTAAAAAAAAGAACTTTTTCAAAAGAAAATACGTTTTTCAGGAATCGTTTTTCGCCATATTCCGATAAAAAATTGATGTTGCTTAGACATTTGCTTGAAAGAAGACCGGGAATACCTGGCGCAAAATATTTGCCATACGTATTGATGTTTGGCCTTGGAGTACTTGTTACAATTGGACTCAAGGCTGCATTTAAGGTACAACGAGTATCTAATTAAATTTTACACACAGCATTGTAAATAGATTTTCTGCTTTAATTATATACAATTCATGTTATATTCATGTTTTATATAAATGCTAATAAGAATAAGCAGTCTATATATGTTATAAAATTATGTAATGAATAAAACATTTATTTAATCAATGGTATAGTTGAGAGTGGCGTTGAAGAGTAAAGAAAAATGCAGAAAAAAATCATGATTTTTAAAATATGGCTTTTAAGATACAGCAAGAAAAAGACAAAATGTATAAGTAAATGTTAATATTATTTTTTTTTAATTTGATTACTGATATAAAAAGTTTTGCATTTATAAATTTATTACATATATATGTAGATGTTTTTTAGAATTCTGATCTTCCTTGAATATGAATAATACATCAAGTTTTAAGCATCAAATGAACAGATATTTGATATTCAAGAAATAATAATTTATGCTAAATCATTGCATATTGCTATCATATTTATTTTAAAATAATTTAATCAAATTGTTAATATCATTCTCTCGAAAATTAACTCTCATGGCAAGATACAACTATTTTAAATCTGTTAATAGCAAAATATTCCCAACAATTCAAAGAAAGAGTAAAAAAGAACATATGCAAATATTGTTACAGGATCAGGAGGATTAATTTTAACATGACAATACCATGCATTATTTAAGAAACACAAAATGTACTTGATTTCTTAATATGCATTTCTTGAGTTTTATACACTTACACTATACATTTTACAATTAAGCTTATAATTTAATGGGCAATATATACAAATTTTTTATACAATTGCTTATGGGTTTTACATATATATGTGTAAACATATTGTTTATGTATTATATTTGTTTTACACATTACATACATGTACAAATATATCTGATCCTTTTGTGGATCATGGGGAAGATTGTATTGATAGAAATAAGTACTCTTAATAAGAAATAAGTTTCACAATGAGTTTTAAAATAAATATGATTAAATCTTTAATTTGCACATATTACTCTGTATTCTTTTTACACATACATTCTTTTATATCTCTTAATTGATATCCATATCTTCTACAAGAATCGCACATTATTTTCAATATAATTAAATTACTAGTATATGCAAGTTATATTTACTAGTATATGCAAGTAATAAACTTACGAGTGCTTCTTTTTTACCGAATTGTCTTCAAAACGCAATATTACACGTTTGCACATGGTAAAGTCGTGGAGTAAAAATTTTTTTGAAGGTTAATTCATAGCGCTGTGTTTACGAAGTGGACGGCAAGTTCACGTCAGTGTTCCCAGAGATAAACAAATTTTACCACACGCGGGATTTTTTGCGCCTATCCGAAAACTTGTATATTCCATTAGTATATTAGTACGCATGCGCCAGTCGTCCCTTCCCTCCTCCCCTCCCCACCCCTTCCTTCCCCGGGAGCAATACTGGTGTTCATCCGAACAGACCGAGTGTGATAAACGTTATTGCATAATTATGTGAGTATAAACAACTGTAGATCACACTGGTTTATCAATCACCTGTCGATTATCGGTCACTACTACGATCGGTGGAATTAATTATAATGCGTTGCGGCACAGTAATTATGTAATATTTTTTTATCCCAATGATAATTAATTACGTAATGTTTTCCCTAGTGCTATCGACATTAGCACTCTTCACCGCGGATTCTTGATTATTGTATCTTAACCTTCGGCTTTTTTTATGCATCGATGAAACGAACGATGTTATGCAAATATGTATTTAAAAGGTTGCAAGAGAAGTACATAACCTTTAAGTTAGAACTCCTCGTATGTTAATAAGATACGATTGTACACCTGCTTGCGATAAGAACCCCCTCTACGCGATAAGGGACCCCCGATGGAAAATATAAGACGAATTCATGTGCTCCGAAATGATTTGATTAATCCTATACCTGTAGAAACGATGGTGGCACATACAGTACTCCTGGACTTCACGGTGTCCAGTAGCGTAATCGCCGATATGGAAAAACGATCGGGCTTGAAGTCGGCGATCGGGAACGTACTAGCGGAACATTTCATCGGTCTCAAGCCATTGACAGAATCTAATATCGATGGCAGTTTGCTCGTTTTATATACCGGACCTAGGGGCAGTTTGATCACTGTCAGAGGATACACGGAAGGTCTGATTACGTTAAACATCGAATATTACAAGCAGGATGATCAGGAAGCTCTGTTAACTTTTGAGGTATGTATGCACTAAATTAAACAATTTTGAGTAATAGAAAATGTCCCTTTTATGAATAATTTTAAGAAACGCTTATAATTGTCAAAAATACAATATATCCTTATATGTATGTATAGGTAGAATTTATCCTGTATTTATTTGTTAATGTTTCTTCTTAAAGAAATCTAAAGAGGAATGAATAGCGAATGTAGGTTTTCATTAGAAAATTGTAATTAATTTGACAATGCAACAATGAATGAACAATGCAACATAATGTGATAAAATTATAACTAATTAAAATCTAAAATAGTAAAATGCAGGCTGTTAAAGAAAAAGATATCATACACACAAGTTCCCATTAGAGTTTCAATGTAACAAATTTGATAGACAATTGATTATAAATATAATGCATCTCGATATGTATTTATGACTTAGTGTCTTTAAATAATAAAATTTAAAATTAAATTAAATATAAAATAATAAAATACTAGTTGTTAAAGGAAAGGGTTCAAAATCTAAAGCGCATATAATACTTTTATTGAATTAAAAGTACTTAATTAATATAGTTCGAAAAATTTATTTCATTCAGGATAAAAAAAATTTTTGACTTTAATATACAAATGATTTACGTAAACTTATCCCTTTTATTGTTAACAATTGCTCAACTTTAAGATCAAATAAGTAAAATCAGCAATTTGGTTCTAATTTTTTTCCTTTATCTTAATAAGTTAAAAAAAGTGAGAGAAATAACTACGCTTAATTATAAATAGAAACAATATTTGACTTTAAACTTTGTTAAACTCTCAAATTAATTATACAAACAAATTTTTATATCTGTATTTGTAAAGTTTTGAAATGTGTAAGATCAAATAACCACATTACAATGTGATGTGTATAAATGGAGAATTATGTTATCTTGTCTAAACACACAATGATAAGATAATTTTTATACCTAGTGAGTAAAAAGTTAAATAATATGAGAACAAAATCATAAAGATCTATTTTATTTCGATCTTATTACTTAAATATTATTTTATTCAATTTCTGAGTACTATATGTCTTATTAGTCCCTTCTTTTTAACAACCTGTATAGGCATTTTTACAACAAAAGTAGGAAATATGATATAACTGTCAGAATATTGTAGCAGTTGCGATACTTGGAAGCTGATGTTGCCATGGCTTTGAACAGCCAGCGTAGCAAACACTTACCGCCAATAAGACGAGGAACCATATATGACCTCTATCTGACGCTATCAGGTAGAAAATGTTTTCCCTCAATTAAATTTTGTTCCTCGTTTACTTTTCCTAACACATCTACTTTACATATATATATATGTAGATTTCATATCATGAAATATTTTTGGCATAGAAAGAGTTACAATCGCTATTGACTGTCATTAATAGATATTTAGGATAGGCCGCTTGTTAGGAATGCTAACTTAATTTTTTCCCAGCACTATTACATTCCCAAGTTTTCTATCCAGCACCCTCAATTTATTCATAAAAAAATTTTAACTACTTATTATAAATATAATATTTGAATATATATATTTCTATTACAATTATTCTCTTGTTGTTTTTGATCGTACGAATAAAAGCTCTTAGGCATTTGATTCAATATGTAGGACACATATATCACGTTAAAACTTACTTCAACAATGATTACACAACATTGAAAGATAATTAAAAGATCTAATGTGAACATATGACTTGCATTGTAAATAATAATAATTATTAATGCTATTACATTTTCTATTTTCTATTATTTTAACAAATTAAAATTCTATTAAAATAATGTTTACACGTAACTGAAATGTTTGTGAAGAATTAAGATATATATATATGTTTATAATATATATAAAATTATAAAATAATTTAAGATATTATTTTCGTGATTATATTGTATTTTTCTTCTTTAGTATTCGGAAATTATTTATCCTTTAAATTTTAAAATTTAATTCTTAAATTTGTAAATCTTTGTCACTTTTAGTCGTACGATTCTCGATAATACAACATGTATAAATACACGCAGATACAGCTATCTTTATCATAACTCGCGTTATATCGCTTGTTACGTATCATTTGTTTGGACAAAGATAAGTTTTGCCATATATCATGGCTTGCCAGATTTTGACACCTTTTTTTAGCTTCCTTAACAACAAGGAGTGTAGCGATTCCGTTTTACAAGATAGTGTCTTTGTTCTGTTCATTCATTGGTTCGGCTTGATGATGATGATGATGATGATGATGATGATGATATAATGATAATGATGATGATGATGATGGTCATGACGATGATGATGATGGCCGATCGTGATAGTTTGCCAAAGAATTGGAAGCGGCATTGCAGACAGCAGCAACCGCTACACGGTCGCACACGCTTACCCCAATTAAACGCGGTGGACCTTTTGAGAGATACTTTCCTACCGCTGGTGAGTTTTTATTTATAATTATGTTTACGGACCAGCTAACGACCGCTCTTACGAAGGAACTGCTTATACTTAAGGAGCTCGATCAAATTGGAAAACTAGTATTGTCCATCGATTTGTAAATGTTTGTATTATAAATGTCCTCTCGTTTTTTTTATTTAAAAAAAGGTATAATACGAATAAAGAACATCTATCCAAAAATCTAAAGTATCGAATATATCTCTCAGGCGTTTAAGAATCGAAATTCATCAAGCCACAAACCTGTAAAATTTATTTAAAATGTTTGATTTCGCATATAATTGAAGTTTATAAGAGGCCCTAGGCTTGAGAGATTTTTGATTCTAGACACCTTTATATTCGTTGGTAATATGCACATAAAAACCTGTGCTCGATTGAATTGATTTCCAGATTGAATATCTGGAACGTCTTTCCTACTTCTCCGCGTTAATATCGAGGACATTATTGCATGACGAAGCGACCGCAGCTTTAATAGTATCTTTTACAATCGTCCCTCCTCTCATATCATTTTTCGTCTGGTTATGATGCTAACGTTCCCATGCGTGTTATCAGCTTTGTCTTGCGATACCTCGTTTTCTATTTGTTGCGATGTTTTTCTTGTATGAAAGCATGCTTTAAATTAGCGTTTATTGTAACTTGGCGACAAGTGTTGTCAATAAAAATTACTTTTATTCAAGATGAACGGCTACTGGAGTATGACATCGACAAACTCGTATTCGAGGCTAGATCACCATATCAGAAGGTACAAATTGTGCACTCCAAATCGCTTGGTAATCTGCTAGTACTCGACGAGCTACAAAGTAAGCGACATTATATTATAATTTTGTCTACTATTTGCAACTTACTAGAAATTCTTCCATAGATATGTCCGAGGCAGATCTTATATATACAGAAACACTAATGCAGCGTGGCAAAGAAAACTATGCTGGCAAGGAAATAGTGATACTTGGCGGTGGTGATGGCGGCCTATTATGGGAATTGTTGAAAGAAAAGCCAAAATTTGTCACAATGCTAGAAGTATGTAAACTAAATTTCATATCATAATTGTGAACAATTTATACTACTTCTCATATTTGCTTGCAGATAGATGATATTGTCATGAAAGCTTGTAGTCAGCATATGCGAAGCATATGTGGTGATTGCTTAGACAAGAGAAAGGGCGATAATTATGAAGTAAGATTCAGTCTTGAATTTTTGTAGATTATTATATATATTTGAATTTATAAGAATAATATAACGCTTTATAGATTATTGTTGGAGATTGCGTGAAAGCATTAGCGCATATGATTGAGGAAGGACGACAGTTCGATTATGTATTCGGCGATTTAACGGATATTCCTATTAGCACAACACCACATGGTGATGCCTGGGACTTTATTAGACTAATCTTGAACTCATCAATGAAGGTATTAAAACCTTCAGGAAAATATATGACACATGTAAGTATTTTCACTTAAAAAGTTCAAAGTGTATCTAATTTTATTAATTATATAAGAAGATTTAACTTTAATTTATAAGTATCAAAAAAGATATATTTTGTTAAAAAAAAATTATATACAATTTTTCAAAGTTCTAGACGTAGAAGTCGGTTTAAAATATGTTATAAATATACTTTTTACTATTGTATTTAATATATTTTTCAAACACAGGGAAATGGCGCGTCTTGTCCAGAATCCTTAAAAATGTATGAAGAGGTTCTATTACAACTGTGCGTACCGGTCACATTCACAAAGGATCGCGCCTTTGTCCCATCCTTTTTCGAGGACTGGATCTTCTATCAAGTCTCATTGAAATGATGGAGCAAAGAATATTCAAAAACCTGGAGGATTATAATAAGGTGGCCTCCTCACAATCGATTGTCTCTTTTATGACACAAGCTTTATTCCTTACTCCTAGCCTTATTAATTAATGAAATTAGTTCCTGACTGAGAAGTAAATCAAACTATTATTAATTAATTCATCTTGTAATACATTAATTAATTGCGCTATATTTTCTTTCGTTAGATTTTTAAGAGAATTTGTTTATATTTTTAACATTAATGTAAAACAGAAAGTGCACTGGAAAGTGATTCCAAAATTTGATAAATTGAATATGTGATAATAAAGAACAAAGCAGTTTTTACATTAATTTACGACAATTATTTTTTTAATTATATTTTTTATAAACTATAATTTTTATTTTCTTCAATAAGTAAATTTCTTTTTTTATTTTCATTGCTGCTTCAATATGTAGATTGTTTTACTTCAAAACTGAACAAAACTTTCAAAGGTGCTGATATTTTTACAAAAGTGTAGTGAAAGAATTAATATTACAAATTCTAATCTGTCTTTTAATTTTATTTAATCGCTAAAGATAAGAAAATCAATTTATGTTGTTATGCTCAATCTGTTAATCCTTTATCTACATATAATTATTGAATATTTAATACAAGATTTAAAATTTAAGTAGCTTTTTACATCGGTCTGTTTTTTTTTCTTTTTTAATATTCTTAATCAATAAAAGGATTAACAGCAGTGACAAGTGCATGTTATTGCCTGCGTCTGCGATAATTGTATTGAAACATATATATATATGGCTGTGTTCCAATATCCACTGCCAGTACTGAAAATCTATAGTGTACGTCACGTAAACTATAGATTTTTAGTACTGGCAGTGAAATTGGAACGCAGCCTATATATATAATATATATATGTTGATATATACATATATATATATATATATATATATATATATATATATATATATAATATATATATCGCACATATAATATGCATACATATATCGTATATATAAATATATTCTGTATTGTAAGACACGATGTATAAAAACGATGAACTTTGTCAGGATAAATTATTTTTCTAGCAAATGTTTTTTTTATTTGAAGAATTGATAAAATATAAATGAATGTAAAATAAAATATATGTATACTCAATTAACCCTAAACAGTATAAAACAATATAATTTAATATATACATATCGATATAATAAATTTATATTATAGGAATAAAAAAATGTTCATATAAAACCTAATAAATTTTCATATAAAATCTAATAAATTTTTGATTGATAAATTAAAACTCGATTAAAAATAAATTTTTAAAAACAGAATTTGAAAATTGTATTATATGTTATTGTTTTAATATATTAAAAAGAATATGTGTTACGAATTCTTATACAGTTTAGGGTTAAAAAAATATGAAATCAACTTAAATTCTGCATGAGCATAGAAGTATTAAAGTAATGATGGGTATTTCTCCAGTTATCTTCTAACTCTATTTGTGCAACTTTACAAACAATATTAATTTATTAAACACCTTATTCTTTTCTCACAGTATTTTAAATATAATATAAAAACACAGAATATCTATTTATCAGTAAGTTAAGCAACAGTGCCCTAAAATGTAAAAGCGTGAAATAATCCCAGATTATTCCAGTTTCTTGCAATATATTTATTGAAAGGTTTTAACTATATTCTTTAAACTGAGCATTTAATTTACTCAATTAATTGGTTCAATGGAATCAACAATTACATGCATACGCACAATCTAGTTGTGTAAGTGAAAAGAATTTAAATTATAATATAACAATGAATTATAGGTTGATTATTTACAACATACAATCATATGTTATGTTTATAAAAAGGATATTGTTTGAAGAAATTGTTACATTAAGATTATTCATTTATTCATTGTCAAGATTCATCAACCAATATATTGTTCATTAAAAACATAACACAGCAAATAAATTGAAGACTTACATATAAAATAAATACGCGATATATTTTAAATAGAATAAACACAGTCTTATAAATTGTTTCATAAATTATATCATGGATTTTAAGCAATATTTTTCAAAAGGGCACTAACTAATTTTGTTCGATATTTTAAGAAAGTATTTGTTGTATAAACACGAAAAAACCAATAAGTACTGTTGCAAAGATACTAAAAGCTTATTAATGTACAATAAATCTTTTACTCTTTCTCCTTTTTACAAAGCATTTGTTATATAAACGAAGAATAATGCAATAACTGTCTGTTGCAGAGGTACTAAAGTTTATCAATGTATACAATAAATCTTTTACTCCTTCTCCCTTTCTTTATCAAGTTTGGTGTCCTTTTTCATATTCCTTTTTTATTCCAATGTGTAACGATATCAATTTATTTTACGAAAGATTATATAAATTAAAAGCATCTGGTATGTAATTCTAAGGTAGATCAGCCTTTTCAGTTTGCTTTCCATAGCTCTGGAAACTTTGGCCCCAATATAAATACCAATTGATGAATAAGATTACAGTTTATTACAAAGTTTCACTTTGGATATTTCTGAAAATTGTCCAATTTCATGAATCGCAGGTTCTATCTCAGTCTCTGCAAGAATTTGTTGTAACCATTGCTGTACCTGTATCGGATGCTCGTAGTTTTTTTTTCGTTGTTTCGAGTATCTAATCAATTCGGAGTCATCCTGACTTGACATTTCCTTATCTAATTCTTGTAAATTATTTTCAATCTCTTCATGTGTCAAGATATCTAGCCTACAGGACTCTGTGTTTTTATAAGACATCTCGAGGGACTGTATAGTCCGTGAATATGCTTTGCCAAAGGCATGTAATCCATCTAAGGATACATGTGTTAGGCCAAGTTTGCGTTTTATAATTAAAAGTGGTGAACATCCTGACAAGGATAATGTATTTTTGAAAATCTTCAATGCGTTGTTTTTTACATTTTGTGAATTTTGTAAATTTTTGAAGGTAGGAGGCAAACTTGAAATACGTAAAGTTCTATAATCGGATATAAAATCTTTGCAACGTGGAAGGCTCAGATCTTGATCTTTGATTTTTTGGCATGTAATCGCCTTGTCAAAGCTAACATGATCTTTATTAGCATCTTGGTAATCTACAACTTTATATGGCTCTGCATCCTTCACTGTAATACCATTCAAGCCATATGTTTCAATATTACCAAACTGACGTATTTGCTCCTCTAATTCGCTTCTATCATTCAATACTACTATTGACGATGGCAGAAAGTCCAATGAAGTCTCTACTAGTGAAAGTTGTTGTCTATGAATGGCTTCGGCCTGACGTAGCAGTTGCTTTTCTCTAGATCGAAGTACTTTTACTAGTTCGTTGAAACAGCTTTTGATTTCTGCCTCAATCTGTAAATTATGTTCTTTTTGTAATTTAAACATTATCGATTGTTAAAAAATTTCTTTCTTGTCGTGCTTTCTAGGATTACAAGTACCAATCTTTATATGTATTTAATTTGTAATTAAATAATATGTATGTAATTTTAAACATATATATTGTAAATAATAAAAATACTAATCTTGTCACTATTTTACAACAGCAGTATATTTGCTTCAAATGCTTAATATATTTATTTTAAAAAGTTTTTATAATTTTTATGTTAAATGTTTTTACATACATTTCTTTATTTGTCTTAATTTTAAAATTTGTGAATATATATATATATATATTGTATAACTTACTATCTTAAAAATATTTGTCATACATATAATAACAGTTCAATTACATATTTACAATGTATATAACTTTTGTTGTAAAAAAATCTCAAAGAAAAATCATGGCACAAAATTCAGAACTACGTATAACGAAAAAAAACATTAAAGTTTAGCGCACAAACGCAGACGTACATACAGTAATATCGAAACATGGCAAATGTATACCTGGGCAGATTTCTCTTCCAGGAATCTCCGTTTATTCGTTATCAGTTTTATTCGCGACTGATTGTCCTCGTCGTTATCCAGCTGACTTTGCTTGCCTATCATGTTCCTATCACCCCTACTATCTCAATTCGATAACGCACGCCAGAAGAGTCGTTCGATCAGCAACGCTCGACCTAGCTCAACCATCAAAGTCGAGCCACCCGTGCAACAATATGCGTCGGTCGGGTGTCGCGTTGCCGACCGGGATACGGTACAGTGGTGGGGAGATAGATGTCACCGCCTGTCGCAATCCACAACGGGTGTGGAAAGAAAGGGGTAAAAGGTAAAAGTGCGTGCGGCAAGAAAGTACAAGACGACGAGCAACGGACGAGCGGCAGTCTCGCGCGGCTCGTCTTGTGGTGGAGTGCGAGTATGGCGAGTTGATTGGGACGACAAAGCGTTTTTGCACATACATCCACGGAGAAAGAGAGAGAGAGAGAGCGAGAGACCGAGAGGCGATCGCTCTCGTGCCGAGACACAAGATTCGGGAAGAGCGAGCGCGCACAATCTCGAGGAGGCGAGGATTGACAGCGCGGAGAGATATTGAAAGAGATCGAGCGATCCACGCACAACGACGAGAGTGCCTCGCTCTCTACCTCTCTATTTTCCCCATTTGTTTATCTATCGATCGCACACTCGTGAATCAGAAGGCGCCGGTGCTACCGGACGCTCGCCCGGTGACTCGCGCTCCAATAGAGGAAGTGGCCTTGCCCACGACTGGAATACGCCGGTTTTCGCGACGCATACGCGAGCTCCCTTTCGACGTTTGACAGATCCAAGCTTGAACCACAGTCCGTGCCTAGAGCCAGCGACGTCGCGCTCGACGGGTCTGAAAATTGTCTGTAAGGTGCAACGCCAGCTATTATAGGTATGTAGTAATACATTTTCACCATACGCACACACGTACACACTCGCACACGCGATACGCCTGCGTGTATACGTGTGTGTGCGTGTGAATGAAGCGAATTGGGCAGCTATTCCGTGCCCTTTGCGTGCGCGGGCGCGAATATAAATCGGAAATCATTCAGAAAAAATCTCTCCGATTAATCCCCTTGCGGTGATGTCTCGTGTGTATATTTGTCGCGCTTCATAATCGTAGAGACAAAAAAGTCGCCTCATTTTCTTCGCGAATCTTTTTTTCTTCCATGCATATGTATTTTCAAATTTGCATTTGTGATGAAGTTTTTCGCAGAATGCATGAGCATTATTTCACTTTATAATTTATGTTTTTTGCAATATTTTTTATATACTAAATTATTCGAACAGGAAAAAAACGTTAACATTAATATTTAATCAAACTGATTAAGCGATAAATGTTGATAAATGTCGATATTAAATGATCTATAGAAATTAGAATGAAAACATGTATCGTAACTCGACTTAAACTCGAATAAATTTCAATCAATTATTTAAAAAGTACACAAGTATATCATAAAAATATTTATATTAATGACGTAATTTTTCAACATCAAAGAAAATCTATGCTTTTTGCGTGACTTATCACAATCTTACTCGCGGCGTAATTTAGAAGCAATTTGTCGAGTGCAATTTATATCAACAATTTTTTTTTTTTTTTATTCTCTTCCCAACGTTGTATTCGATCGTTTCGAGCCTCGTCCTCCGCGAGGACGACCAACGCGACGTTGAAATTGCAGGTTGAAACGCGAGAATCCGTATATTTGGACTTTTGGATTTCGGTCTCTCTCGCACATCGATCGAGAGGTGGTGCATCGCGTGAGATCGAGCGTCGAACTCGGATTGGCGCGCTCGTGGCTCACGCGTGCGCCGCTTCACCGTGGAACGTGTCTGCGCGCAGCTGTACGTTCAAAAGGCACCACGAGGAGACCGTGATCTAGTCGTGCCTTGGCACGGTGTAATTGTACGTTTTCTTATCGTTAGAATTATTTTCTTTGGTCTTCGAGCCTTGAATACCGAGAGTCTCGAAGAACATTCAACATTCCGAGGTAAATCCTGAAATGTATAAATATTTACATAAAACGTGTGGTCTTCCCTCCCATACAGCACAGAATATTGCGGCAATATTATTAATATTGTTGTAACATAGCAGCGACATTGCAATATTGCCGCAATATATTCTTAGAGATCCATTTGAAAGGAGAAATCGTTCGTGGATATCGAAAAAGAATAAATAAGAAAATAAGACGAAGAAAAAATTGTTGATATAGATTTCACGAGCAAATTGATCTATTACGATGATAGAAAAACTCTTAATGTACAGAAATGATATTTATTTTCGAGATTTTTTCCTTATTTGATTATTTCTAGATGATTTTCAGAAATCATGTATGTATTCGTATTTGTTACAGAAGCATTGACGTAATAATCATTAATCGTCAAAGATGAACAAGGTGGATTACATGGAGGTAACTCTCCCAAATTATTCCTACATCTTTAATTTCGAAGAGACATTCAGTCACTATGAGACCAAGCAATGGATGATGAAAAATTGGACGAATGGTTTCTATTACTGCGGATTGTACATGATCTTAATATTTGGCGGGCAACTTTACATGGCCAGCAGGCCCAGATTCGAACTCAGGGGAATATTGTGTCTTTGGAATACGTTATTGGCTACCTTTTCTATCATCGGTTTCACCAGAACGGCACCCGAACTAATTCACGTTCTCAGGCATCATGGATTACACCATAGCATTTGTATACCAAGGTCAGTTGGTCTTTATTATTCCATAAAATTAACATTTACGCATATTTTTTAAACTTTTCAAGTAAGTTTTTTCATACCTTGATGATTATACTAATAAAAAACGTGTCCATATAGTTTAAGAAATTTAAATTTTTAACTACTCTCAGAAACTACATGTATTATATTTATTTCAATTCGCTTGTACAAAGAAATAAAATCACTGCAAAAAAATAAAAATATTTCAAGCAGTTAAATAGTTGAATAGAAAATTGTTGGAAACGAAATGACTGTGACACTCAATAACCTATGTATATATTATGTATATATTATCGTCATGCATTATATGTCCTTCAAGATTATTTTTTAATTATTTGCTTATCATTACGAATTGAATTTTAAAGTCTCAAAGAAAAAATTTTATTTAAATTTTTATTTGTGCTTAATCATAAATTTGTATGTATATGAAAATTTATCAAAAGAGATATAAAGATAACTAAAATAATATAAAAATAAACATAAAATAGTAACAAAAAACATACAAATAATTTTATTATTTTGATATATATCTTACATTGAAAAAAAATTCTGAGATACATTTAATAATGTATTTTTGAAATATATTTAATTTTTATCATCAAGTATAATGATAATAACAAGATATTTAGTAATAGTTATAAACATTTTAAAAAGGATCAAGTAAATTATTTCGTCTTAATTTTATACAGTTGAAACTATTTCATCATAATTTAGTGAAATAGTTTTAATATAGATAATTAAGACGAAATAATTTACATGATGTTAATATTTAATAGGTTCTACTAAATGTAAAATATTTTTTAAAATGTCTATAACTAAATGTCTATTACTAAATATTTTGTTATTATTATTTTATTTGATAATCAAAATTAAATATTTCAAAAAATGCATTACTAAATGCATCTTGCAAGTTTACCCAGAACTTTTTTTCAGTGTATTTGCGCTATATACATATATTTCTGCATTTCACGCATGTTTCGACATGATAATATACTAGCATATTATGATTTGAAAGATCTTCTTTTGTTAAAAAATATCCACAAAAAGATGTACGATTATTTATTCATCACGCGAAAGAGATATAATTGTTTATGAGAATTATTTTCATTTTATCCTTTCTCTCTTTCTTTAATTATATAACTTAAGTATTGATTTAAATAATAAAAACATCTTTATATTTCGGTTTGTAAATATGGTTAAATCTTGATGACTTAAATTTTTTTATCTCAATGAAAAAAAGCAAAAAATTGTCGCGTTACAACATTTCAATTTATTATTAAATATTCAAAATTATATCAGTCGATTAATAGGTAAAGAAGCATTACACTGCTTTTCGCTATCAGATACCAAAAATAATTTCTTTCTATTGCTTTTTGATTGATTTATTGTATCTTATATCGAAGCAATTATTTAATTTACACGAGACACAAAGAATAAAAAATTTATTTAACGTCACATTTTTTAAGGAAATTATTAATTCTTATCGACTATGATAAGATATTGACTATAAAAGAATAATAAATTAATAATAATGAATTTGATTGCAGTTTTATCGAACAAGATTGTGTATCGGGTTTTTGGACATGGATGTTCGTGTTGTCGAAACTACCTGAATTAGGCGACACTATATTTATCGTGTTGCGTAAACAACCGTTGATCTTCCTGCACTGGTATCATCACATTACCGTCTTACTGTACTCTTGGTTCTCGTATTCGGAGCATACCGCATCCGCGCGATGGTACGTCGTAATGAACTACTGTGTCCACTCGATCATGTACAGCTACTACGCTCTTAAGGCAATGCGATACAGACCACCTAAAGCGATCTCCATGGTAATCACTACGCTACAACTCGCCCAGATGGTGATCGGCTGCGCCATCAACATATCTGCCTACCAATACCTGGAGAGCGGCAAAGTGGACTGCCATATTACTCGCATGAATATTCGTTTTAGTTTTGCGATGTACTTCAGCTATTTTGTCCTATTCGCGCGATTCTTCCACAAGACGTATCTAGCCAGAAAGAAGGCCAACAAGAAGCATTTTGCTAACAGCGAACCTGGTCACATCGGTTATAATGATAAGCTCAAAGCCAACTAAGGCGGTAACCAGCGCACCAAGACGCTCGGACGTCTTTTTCTCTATCTTTTTGCCGTTTTATTTCTCTTTTTATTTTTTTCTCTTTCTTTTTTCTTTCTGTTTCTTTTTCACGCCGCTGGTCGACGTAGCCATGTACATCCAGGATCTATTTATATTAGAAGATATTAGGGTTTAACGGCTTCTAGGATTCACGCACTTAATGGCTATTACTATTAAACTGATGATTTTTGAACTGTGATGTGAATTTTAAATTATAATATTTTATTTTTTCTGTATTTAAAGATTATTTGATTAAATAATAACTGCATGTTAAATAAAATTAATGAGCATTATATTTTTTTATTAATATTATATTTTTACAATACAATTTGTCTTATGTTAATTTTGTTAATAATAAAAATACAAATACATGTTTGTAAAAATATAAATGTTTGGTTTATGAATACATGTATGTATTCTTAAATCGAATTAGAGAAAGCTCATTATAAATATTACTTTTATTAAATTATTGTGTCTAATCCGATTGAAATTATATTTATTGCACAAAACTTTAATTCTAATTATTAAAATTATTATGTCAATTAGTGCCGAAAAACTTGAAGTTATATAGAGCCTAAAGCGTATAGGATAACTCTAAATCTTTAAGATTATTTGTAGGATCTATATCCTATAAGAATCTAAATAAATTCTCTTTCATATATATGTAGAAAATCATATACATTTCTAGGAATCATCGAATTTTAAGTCCATAGAGCCTAGAAACCAACTTCTCTTTAAATCCTCAGATTCTAGAAGCCGTATATCCTAGAGGTTATAGATTTTGGGTGCTATTTCTCAGGATCTTTATATCCTAGGATTCATGAATCTGTAAATCCTCGCGAATCGGTAGAGATTAAAATATGCATATTTAAAATGTATGTATTTTTCAGAATTCTTTTATCCTAATATTTAGGTCTTATAAAATAATGAATTCGTAAAGTTTCGAATTAACGAGAACCTAGGATTCATATTTCATGTAATCTTCATATCCTACGGTCTGCGTCGATCTCCTTAAATCTAAATTTTTCAAGATCTTTAGATCGTAGGATATATAGCCAATTAATATCCGCTTATGCGCGGAAAGTATCTTGAAAAGGAGATTCACTCGAGAAATGTAGCGATACTCCTTTTCATTTTTTTATATGTAATTAATAAAGAACTACTTTCGTATATAATTGTGGAAACGCGCGTAAGCGTGCACATGCATTTCTTTAGGTCTGACCGGCTGTTGCACAACATTGTTATTATGATTTTGTTACTCTCTACATTTCTCTTTTTTGTGCAATTTAATATTGATATTATTTAATAATAATTTATATAAGATCAGATATATATACATGTGTAAATAATAATTTCTCATCATAAGTCCTGCACGATATTTACCGAATCCTCACTTGTTCCTACAATATCCCACAGTGGTTTAATTATCATAAACTTTACGAGCGAAGATTTCTAAAATTTTTTTCGCAGTCATTTCAATTTTAAATGAAGAGAGGAATTAATTAAACGATCTTTTTTTGTACTTACTGTTTAAGCAGAGTTAACTTATGATCCATAGATCAATGACCACAAATATTGGAAAGAAAATATTTTAGGTGTATTCTTTCATTTTATAAAAATTTAGCTGTTCGCGTCAATGTAAAAATCTCGACCTAAATAATGCATAAAGGAATGTGTTAAGAAACGTATACGATGCTATTGTTTGTAGTCAATCTGTCCAAAGTACATAAAAATCTATTTGACGAACTCCTTAATGGTCATATGATAACGAAATTCTTAATGGTCATATGATCAAACATTCGCAACTTTTATTTACAGACATACAAATTCTTGAAAAATTTCAGAATTTTTATTAATTTATTTTCGATTAATAAACTATTTAGAGAATAGCTTGCATATTTCGTATTGACGGAATGAATTTGTTGCAAGCATAAAAAAGGCGTTTTTTATCAAATTCATTGATATCAAGCTCATATCAAATTCGCATCATATTAGATTAAATATATAGATTAAAATCTGTACCGTCGAGAAACTTTAAAAGACATCTCAAATAAATAATTATGAATATTGTTGACTGTCTAATATACTCTCGCGGGAGAAAAAGTTGTAATCGTCAAGTAAATTATCAATTTAATTAATCGCGGAGAAATGCGCGTTTTTAATAATTGCTTACGAATTTACTGTGCAAATATGTCAAATTTTAACTTACGAAATTACGAATTGTAACAAATACATATTCCGTCAAAAAATTACAATTTCCAAGTAAAATATAAATATTCAATTGGTTTTATCGTAATAAAATATTCAATTTCATTAAAATATTAAATTGGTATTTCATAAATATAAATCGACGATTAATAAAACATACTCTTCTTCATGCATTATTAATTATTTACTATTATGCTGTTGTTTCTTATGCAATCGTTATTTCAAGATCACCTTCGTATCTCTTTAATTTAACATAAGTATACAAAGTATATAAAACCTCACGTTCTTTTAACGTGATATATCTTTTATAGATAGTGCACGATCAACTTTTTTACCGCAATATTGATATGGTACTGGAAAATTTGTTGAATCTTTTTTTTATTAATAAGACATGTGCGATGCGTTCTTATACGTGATATTTTAATAAAATAAGATTAATTGCTTTTTTATAGTATTTAAAATGATCTCCTGAGATTTTAATTACTAAAATATAATCGAAGAATCTTTAAAAATGTGATTTGTGCCAAGTTCTTTATCAAATCTGCTATATTTGTGGAGATATATGGTATTAAATATTTACTTCTGAGTGTTTTTTTTCTTTTTTTGCAAAATCGTGTAATTTTTAAAAATTAGTATTCGATGGTTTCTGTGTGATTTAGTATGAAAGAGCGCATTTTTATTGTATTTCTTTTTGATATCGAAAGAGAGAAGAATTCAAAATTCATCTTGAACTTTATTTGTAAGAAATATTGAAGTTTGCACTCACATGAAAAATTAATATTTGATGTATTTATATGGATTATTTACGAAATAACAAATTTGAATCTTATATTTTTTATATAATTTAAAACCTTTTATACAAAAATTTCTAAATAAGCAAAAATTTCTAAATAACTAGTTTTCCACATTTATTAGTTTTTAAATTATATAATTTTTTAAATTACATAATTTTAGAAAAACAAAGATCGAACAATTAATATTTAAAAATATTTCTCCGAAATATTGCAAATTTTCTAAAGTGCAAATTAGAATTAATTAGAATAAATCTTCAAGTTTTTAGATTATAGTAATTCTTATGAATCTTAAATCTTTTTTAAAATTCATCGACTATAAATAACTTAGTAATTTCATAGCTTAAATAAAAAATAATGTAAAGCAATAGCGCACAAATCCAAATATAAAAGTGCAGATTAAATATTTTGCTAACTATAAGACTTTCTAATATAATAATAGTATTTTCTAATAGTATTTTCTCCCATTAATATTTTATTATCACACTTTGATTTTTTCCGAATAATAATTAAAACTGTTAAAATAAATTCTCTAGTTTGTATGGATCGTAAAATTTCATGCTCGTTATTTTGATCTAAAATAGAAAAAAAACTATTTTTTTATTTGCGAATAATTAATATAATATAATCATAGTAACAACATTTATTAAATTAATTACTCTTTTTAATTTGATGTTAATAATGACATTCCTTGAATATTATAATTTTATAATTTTTATTTAGATAATATTGTATGTAATTAAATATATATATATATATATATATATATATATATATTTATTTATATATATATATATATATACACAATAAATATATAAAATATTTATCCACAAGTTAATTCGCTAGAATTAATTTAGTTACGATTTTTAATTTACGACAAAACAACTTATTCAATCTTGTTAACAGACGCACAATGAGTTATTTGCAAACACGCGATGAACTCATGCGTGATTCACGTGTACGATCGTACGACTCTCGTCTGATCATGCGATTCGTAAAGTTATTAGATGTCAGTAGTGACCCATTGGTCACAAACAAGATACATACATTATGTACATTCAAGTCTTTATTCCTACAACAAAAAATTACAAAAGAAATTATCGCGCGTTAATCATCCGTTACAAACAAATTTTATATTTTTATAATTAATTATAATTAATTATATGAATATATCTAAAAATATTTTAATAATTTTTTTAGACAATTGTCTAAATATAATAATCATATCTCGATTAATTTTCTATTAGCCAATACTTGCAAATAGTTTTATCTTAATATTGTGAGGATTTTAAAAGAAGATTGAGAATTTGCAAAATTTTAAAAAGCTTTTCAATATCTTTCTACACAATATCTTAATATATATCAATATTGAATGTTTATAAATTTTAGACATTGCAAATTTCTAAAAAAAATGTAGACATCTATTAAAATTAGACTTACTTCTTTATTTTGTCCCCAATCTTCAGAGATGTACGTTAATAGGTCTGTCAAGCCCTCAAATTCTGTTCTACTTTGAGGTGGATTATTCTTTGGTATTTTTGGTAATAAGGAACCCATTTTAAACCTAAATTCTTCTGCATTAGTGGCTCCAGAGATTTTCCAGATTCCATAGAAAAATAAGCCACATCCTGTGATAGCAAAAAGCGAGCCCCAGCCAAGGGCTCGTATTGCTAATGATGCTCCTGTTTCGTTAATTCCTCTAACGCCAGAAATTCCTTCTCCAAAGTGTTTTGGATCTTGCTTTTTGGTAACCCCCACGGCTCTGGCAAAACCAGCAAAGGCAGAAATACTTGCGACGGTGCTTAGAAATACTGCAGCTATGGAAATATAAATAAATTTATTGAAAAAACATGTAATGTATTGCGTGAATATTAACGGAAAATAATGAAAAAGATAAAAAAAAGAGACAAGCTGGAATTGAAGCTTAATTGATTATAAAAATATAAATGCAAACAGTATGATGTATGTTATATAATATTAAAATTATAACAGGTAAAAAAAATTGAAATATTAATTTCACAGTCGTGAAAAATATCACTTATGATCAAAACTTCTTGTTTTTTATCCAGTATTTTGAATTTTTTCAGTATTTTGAATAATTTTTGTATTCATGATAAAATGTATAAAGCACACTGCGTAATAACTAATGGAGTTTTTCTGAGCAACGTTAATATTAAAATGAATATTTTTCTATGTTAATAATCGTATGAAAAATTACAGTTTGCAGCTTTTTATATGTTAGTGACACGTGTATCAGAGATAGAGAGAAAACGCTTTCATGGATAATGAGGTTAGCTTGGACAGCGCACGATATATGTGCGGCAATACGGATATACTTTACAACTTCTATAATTCTTAAACTTACCGTATATTTTCTCTTTCTGTTTTGCAGATTTTACAACGGACGTATTCGCAGCATCCTTCGATTCCGCCATCGTATTCGAAGAAAAGTATCTTGACGGTTACTCCGCCATTTTTAAAGTGCCCACGCGTTTACACATGCGGAATAACCATTTAGTAATCGAATAATAATACATCTAACGTATACGTAGATTGTAGATATATGCGCGCATTTTACAGAACCCGGCCATTAATTCCATATGTCAAGAGTGAGCAAAAAGGTTGCCGGGAATTTTTTTTAGTATTTCGTTAAAATCGTGAAGCACGTTTGACATTCAGGCAAGTCGAGTTTTGTGAATTCTCAACGTTGGCCCTCAACATGGAAATGGAAGGTAAAATCCTGTTGTTTTTCATTTCACATATCTTTTTCGTTTTTCTCTACTTTTAAAAAGACGAAAGAACATAGATTTCTTTTAATGTATGTTACAGGCGAAGTAAAGCATAACATCGATGAACTCGTTGATGATTTAAAACACGCTGTAAAACTTGATATCTCACAAGATGAATGTCCTAATATCATTCAGATATTGGATTCTATGGCGAATGTTAGCAAAACTTCAATTGAAGGTATAATGAGAGAATTGCAATATACATTGAATTGTATTATAATAGATTTGGATGTGTGACTAACATTTTATATTTTTTGTTTCTTTCCCATTTATCGTCGCTCATGTAATTTAATATTGTATTATATAAAGTTGTTATTAATTAGTATATGGTTTTAGAGACATCGGAACTAGTCATTGATGAAGTTTTTCTGATGTTGCTTGGACACAAGTCTAAACAGATTGTAGTAAATACAACAAAAGCCATTGCAGAGATTGCAAAGACTGAAAAAGGAAGGGAGAAATGTACTAATACAGAGTTGGTACAAGCATTGATTGAGTTGCTAAAAAAGAACGATATAGATATACTGACGCCAGCTTCCAGAGCTATAGGAAATATCTGTTATGATAATGGTTGTTGTAACAGTCGCATTTATATAAGAATTTGAACATTACATATGAATTTATCTTATATAACTATCCAAAATAAAAGTCAAAGTTTCCATTTTGATAGATTTATATATATTTATATATATAAATTATTATATATATTTATTATATAAATTATATTTATATATCAAGCATCAGATCATTTGTTATCATGCAGATATAAATATTTGTTATTAAAAAAATTATAAATATTTGTTATCATGAAAAGATATATATAATAGTTTTAAATATATTATTAATTTATACAATTGTGTAGTAACCATGATAAAAAATATATAAGCTTCAATGAGGAACATTTATTTTACAGAGAATGGTAAAAAATTGGTGCAGGAGCAGGATGGATTGAAAGTAATTTTAACAGTGCTGAAGAAAAGTATTGCATTAAAGGATGCTAAGGGGGCCAGTTTTCTGCGAAGTGTGGCCACTGGTTCTTTATTAAATTTTTTGGTGGATCAGGAAGCATTGTATGAAGAGGTAATACTTGAACAGAGAGAAGCTACATTTCTTTGAGAATATATATGCTATAAACACTGAATAAAATAATCATCAATGGTGTTAAAAGCACGATGGAAAGGCAACAATTATAATTATATATATTCCATCAGGCACTCAAACAAGACATAGTATCCACTATTTGTAGTATCTTGGAGGAAGATAGGACCAGCGATGGTGAAAGGACAGTATATGCATTACTCATTCTTAGCTTATTAAATGGCACGAACATTATATTTCTTGATGAGAGATTAACGAAAATTCTGATTGATGTATTCATCAGTGACACTTCCTCTGAATTATGTGAAATGTGTTTGGAATTATTACATGGCCAGGCCGAAGATGGTAAATTAATGATAATTTCATTGATTAATAATTAAATGTAGATTAAATTAATTTAAATTAATCTCTTCGTGTAAATTAAAATGAAATAAAGTAAAAATATCTTAATATAATTAGATTTAATTCTGAATTTATTCGAAACATTAGATTTAAAACACATGAATGAGTTAAATTGAAGTAATAATTATAAATTATAGTTATAATTATAATAATAATTATCAATAATATAATTTCAACTTTTTAGAAAAAGTAAAGTTATTGCTAGCCAAAACAGGAGTGTGCGACTTACTCCTCAAATTATTAGAAAAACATGGTCCACATTGCAATGACGAAGAAACACGGTTTGTTGTGAAAATTGCTTGTAACTTGATCGTTTTGATCTTAACCGGAGGTGAGTTCTGAGATGAGCTCTCAAATCCAGTATTATTTGTTCTAATAAATATACTACTTTCTGTCTAGATGACAGTATGAACTTCCTTTATGATGATAGCAAAGGGGCTGTCTATAAAAAGTTGGTAGACTGGCTAGAGAGCATCGATGAAGACTTACAAATTACCGCCGTTTTAGCTATGTGCAACTTTGCACGCACCGACGTACATTGTAAGCATATGGTCGAAGAGGGTATTCATCGGAAGCTACTAAAACTCCTTCAAAAAAATGATAGCAAGTGTGGCGATATCAGATGTCAACACGCCTTACTCAGCGCATTACGTAATCTCGTCATACCTGTGAATAACAAATCGTTGATACTCACCGATGGTTTGATCGATGTACTTTATCCGATGTTGGACATCCCTACTTTTCCCGTTGTTTTCAAATTGCTGGGAACGCTTAGGATAGTCATAGACGGCCAAAGTGAGCACTCATAAAAACCTCTCTTAAAAACTAAAATAGCAACAATATTTACTATAATTTAATAAGAAAATAAGGTAATAATTATGGCCGAGTTACTTGCTGTAGGAGAAGCAGCAATCTCCTTAGGACGAAGAGAAGATCTGATCAAGCGAACGGTTGAATGGTGCAGTACCGCGGATCATCCTGGCGTTCAGGGCGAAGCGAATCGATTAATTGCTTGGATAATGAACAATAGCAGGTTCGTTTTCAATGAAATTTATGAAATAATTCCCACAAACTATTGATATATTTTTTAGGGACAAGCAAATTGCTTTGTTAATTATCAAATACGGAGCAGTGCAACATTTGGTTAAAATGCTTCTGGCACAGCATACATTAATGCAAAATGAAGCAATACTAAGTCTAACGATACTGACAAGGATCTGTTTGACGGAGTCTGAAGAGTTGTTAATCGAGGCGGACTTTGGGAGTAACATGTGCGAATTTGTTAAAATACGCGCAAAGGATCTCGACATACATATTGTGTTAAATGCGTTATCTTTATTGGATAGCGTCGTGCAATCAGGTATTATGGCAAAAAGTATTAATTTGAAAAAGAATTAGCTATAGCACTAGAATTGTTCAATATTTAATCACACTAAATAATTTTATTTTAGCCCGGTTAAAAGAACATCTCAAAAACTGTGGATTAGCTGATGCGTGTAAAACTTTGCAGTTCAAAAACGAAGATAGTGCTGAAATCTGGACGCGTGCTACTGCACTGCGAACCGCGCTGTGCACTGCCTTGGATATAAGTTAGGAATTCGATTATTAAAAGTGTTCTAGAAAAATGGATGACCAATTCAAACATTACGCATTCATGTGCGCTGCCATTGTTGTATCTTCCATTTATTCCAAAAAGCTATACAAAAACTCAACTACAACTTCTCCAAGATGACCAAATCATCATTCAATTTGATCCACAGATTACAAAATGTACTTTATTTATTGAGAAATATATATTCTATTGATGTACTTGTATTATTGCAATTAATTTATTAATTTATTAATTATAAAACTTTTGTTAAAGTTTTCTTAAGAATTATTTCGACTAAAATCTTAACTTAATCGATAATTGATTTACTAAGAATAATATGTATCTAACATATAAACATGTATATCTATAATATATTTGTAATTTTTCAAATAATTTTTATTATAATTTTGTGATCTGACATGTAAAAGATGAAATTAAGAACGACCAGTTAAAAATTTTTTTGTTTCAGTTAAATAAGTTCATCGAAGTCGTTCCAAGAAAGTATTGAAGGTATATATTTCCTATATTTGCAAGAGTATATAAAATATATACTCTTATTATTTATCTATATTTTTTTTATTTAAACATATTGCTTTATCACAGACGAGATACTGTTAAAAATAATCAGTTTTATGAGTACTTACATAATATTTGAAAAATCTGTTGTATATTACGCTCTCTCAGGAAACAACGACCAAAGTAAAAAATAATAAACGTAAATGATAATAGAAATAAATATAAACAAAATATTACAATACAATATATAATACGATATAATACATATAAATATAAATCATAATATAAATAAAAAAATAGTTATAATTAGTTATTGATAATAATTTATTATACATAAAATTATTTCAGTATGTTATTTCTTTCAATACTACTATTATTTATTTATATATGTATATGTATATGTGTGTTTATATATGTATTTATATATGTATATTTATATATGTATATGTGTGTTCTTTTTTCTTTCAATATCATTTTTTATTTATTTATATAGTTTCCTAAAAGTCATTTTTTTGAAGTGTAAAACTAAAAATTATACTATAAAATCTAACTTTGGAAAAGTAGTAAAACAATTTAATTGCAGGTTCAAATAATTACGTGATACTTCAGCCGTTTGATGAATAATTAATCTATAAATTAAAATATTTCTATAATTTAATATTTTGTGTATATATATATATATATATATACATATATTGTTTTTGATATAGAATAAATATATTTCAATATTAATCGCGATCGCAAACAGAAAATTTAATAATATGAAGTTTCGTATCATTATTTTATAATTCGTTGCCGAAATATCGACCTTAGCGGCAATAATACGCGCTATTATTATATTTTTGTTATCATTCGTACAATGACACTCGAATAATAAAGTAGTGACACGCTCCGTATATTATAAAATTATTTTTTCTTAATTAATTATTAATTATTTCAAATTAATTATAATATTCAGAGTGAATATGCTTTGATATTATCAATTATATAGAAGATATTCTGGTAAACATCATAAGAAGAAAGAAACGCGACGAGTCCCTACAATCTTAGGCCAATGAAATGCGACAGTTTATAACAACCTGGACTCGAAGAGGAGGCTGCATTAGATAAGAATGCATGGTAATAAATGACCTTTTTAGGGTATATTTAGACAAATTTGTATAGCGCATAAGCATATATGTATAAAAAAAATTGATTGAACCATAAGCATATCTATAAGGAGAATAAATTAATCTATTTCCTTATGCTTATATTTAGACAAGTTTATCTGGATGCCTTTAATGTGAATTAAAATATCTCTGGAAAATTTAAATTTTCAGCGCCAATTTTTTTCTAGTATCTTACTGCCATCTAGTACCGTCACGTGCTATCGTCTATCCATGCCCTGGCGCAGCAGTCGCGCGAGCTGCCACGTAATGTTGTGTGTGCTGTTTGTCCGTTCTCGAGTTGCTGCAATTATATCGTCCTGTAGGATTACGTGGAGATAAGCGAGGTGATGCGCGAGTTTGCGTCCATCCGTTTTTAATTTTAAACGACCCGCGTTGTTGTAAAGGTAAGGAGCATTCGGATATTCCAGCCATTCCGTTCTGCATTTTAACCTTTTGTCGCACTGACAATGCGCTTTGACGACTCAAATGTCAACCTGCTAGAATTCATATTTTCTTTCTGGATTAATAAATATGATAATTGCCCTAGAGTAAGCTCGATGTAGCTCTGATCCTCTCCTTGAGATAACTAATTTTCTTTTCACTCTGTCTAATTTTTAATCTGTAACTTCTTATTCAGTATAGTCTATGAGTTGCTTTGCGTAGACCCATAATTTGATAGTATTGTAAGATTCTTATTGCTGCTACTGGCAATAGTGCTTAATTAATGTTTGATGATTTAAAATCATTTGTCGATTTACATCATTTGTTGATTTAGGTCCATATTCTGAATCCTCTTTTATCGATAAAAGAGTTTTTAAAAGTGGCCTGTAGCCAATCAGAAGGCTTATATGCCACTTTTAGAGGCACTTTTATCGATAAAAGAGGATTCAGAATATGGGCCTTATAAAAAGAATTCAAGCAGAATCTCTAAGCATTTTTATATTATATATCTTAAATTTATCTTGAATATGAAGATAGATTTTAAATCCAATAATTTATAATTTTTAATATAGAAAACATGTTTCTGTTTAAACGTATGTTATCCTAATTTATTAAATAATAAGTTTTATTTGCAGTGTGACTGTTAAAGGAACAAAATGTCACAGTCAAGTGGTTACCAATATCCAGTGTATGCAGAGCCCAATAATTCCTTGAAGAATGATCCATCGCCAATAGTAAATGGCCAAAATTCTGCTTCTCAACAAAATGGTGTGCAGTCTCCCCAGTTCAATCTAACTGGTAAATTTTTGTAAAGAAAAAGGAATAGAATAATATGAATGAGCAAAGAAATACTTCTTTATATCTTAAGTATAATGTACATATAACTTTTCTAATAGCATCTAGGTTTTTATACATTTAACACTTCATAATATAAAAACTGAGATAACACAATCAATAAATCTTTTGCTTCTTTGAAATAATGATTAACAAATTGATTGCTAATAAACAATTTTGTGAATTCCATATCTTAATAGATTGTATCAATATTTTAGTTAAATATATAAATAAAATTTTATTTTAAGAAAGATAATAAATTTACATAAAATTCTATAAAGCAGTTGTTATAATCAATTATATCTTATTTAAATAATAATGATATTTATTATTAATTGAAGTTTTAGAAATATTATACTTGATTCTTGTTTAGAAAATTTATTAAAATTGAGATAACTAAACGTATTCGTAGGTACACCATCATCGCAATCGTCGCGTGACCCGTCCAGGGAGACTTCCAGAGACCCATCGCCAACTCAATACCTTCATAATCAATATCGGCCTCAGTTGCCTCGACCACCAATGCCACCAATAAATGGACCTCCAAGCTCCAATGCGTTGCCTTTGCTATCTAGGACGACACAATTGCATAATCCTGTAAATCCTTACGGAATTTCTAACCAATATGCTGCTAGTGCTCATTCAAATGTTGCAGTCAGTACACCTTCGACTGCCTTTGTATCCCAACCTAATCAGGAAGTTCAGTATAGAAACACAATTCCTTTGAATCAAATGCCTTTACTAGCCAAAAACTTGTCATCAGGCTCTGCTCCTTCGACGTTCACAAATACTACCGAACCGGAGCTTGCTAAAGTAAACCAAAGTTATCAATGGACAACTAATCCCCTTCCTACTAATGCTGCACAGGGGACCACAGATATTTCTGGAACATCCAGTAACATTGATAAGACTAGTCAAGTCTCTACAGATCAAACTGCTGGAGTTCAAACATCTTTTACTGGATATAAGACCTTGGTGCAGGGTCAATGTGACCCTACTTTTCCATCTTCAGCCAATGTTAGTCTACCTCCTTCGAATCTCCGTCAACATGTGAATAAAATTAGGCACATACAACAAGATCCAGCGATTTCCAATATACAGTCTCCAAAAACTCAAAATATTCAAGCATCACAACCGATAATCGGTGTTTCTGAAAGCTTAAATAATCCTCAACTCAAATATAGCAGTCAACAGAATCTATTCAGTCCAACGTCAACACCATTGAATTCTAGCACACCAAACTTATTCCACGGTTCACAAGGCCATAATATAGATTCACGGAATCCTCAAAATTATAGTCCTCAACCATTGAAACCACAGCAGAATTTACTTACTGGTTACATGGATTCTACGGGATTGGGAAACACTCTTCAAGGTCAGAATATACATCAAAATTTACCTGGCCAGAGAAGATATCCACAACAAGACACTGCCAATACTACGATGCTACCTCCAAGAACGACCGCACCGCCTTTGGGAGCTAATCAATTACATGATGCGAGACCGCCGCCACCAGGAATGCCGCCTCTTCCGAGTCAACAGCTGGTAATGGAACTTAAGAAGATATAATATATTATAACATATTATAACATCTAATATTAAAATTAAGTTTTATTTCATTAATAGTTTTCTATGTGAAGTTGTGTAATTTTATAATATTAATGATTTTATTTATATTTTTAGTACGATACTCGTTCACAACATCCCGGTCCGATGACGAACGTTCCATTAGATTCGTTAAATAAAAGATATCCTAATATATATCCTGACCAATTAAATCAGTTAAATAATCAGATGGGCAATCTAAACGTTACACAAAGTAGCTACAACAAATTATGGGTATTTATTTTTATTTTTTTTATCAAAATATTTTACTGATTGTTACGTATATAGAATGTAGCATATAAATGTGTTACTTTAACATATTATTAATATTTTTCAGGGGATGGAAGCGGTAGATCTTTTACAATGCAGAAATATACTGCCACCTGAAAAAGTTGAGCCACCAAAGATCAGATTGCATCAGGAAGTCTTGGATAATGTAAACTGTAATCCTGAGTAAGTTTTTCCTTTTTTAGAAATTGTAAACTCTGATATATGTCAATGAAGGAATTAAATGAGAACATAATTTTTTCATATTATGTGTAGTGCATTAATTATTTGAACAGTTCGGTTGCTAGATCGGATCATTAGCAAAATTATATTTGTTATAATATTGATAAGTAAATGAATTGCTTCTCTGCAATCCTAATAGTATTTATGAAAACACATTTCGAACACTTGAATATTGCACAATGCTTCTCTCACAGCCCAGAATTTCTCTTCTCATAGTTGAAATCATGAGGAGATATCTTTGTTTCATCATAGAGTTTCATTATAAAGTGAAAAATTGCACTTTGCTTTTCGCACTTGGCTCTCATTTAGTCTGTTTCATATATTTATTGATATTTTTTCCTTTTCTTTATTTTTTTATCTAAGATATGGAGATTTTTATTAAAAGAAAGCATATATTTAATATATAAAGAAAATTAAACAATAAATTTTTAGAATTTTTATTGTTACTGAAACTGTGTTTTAGGATGTAAATATCATTCTTAATGTATCAAATAATTACAGCATATTCAGGTGTACACTGACAAAAGTCCCGGAATCGAACTCGCTTCTTCAAAAATCAAGATTGCCATTTGGCGTACTAATACATCCTTTTAGAGATCTAAACGTAAGTAATATAGGTGAAAAAATTTTCATAATTTAAATTATACAGGAACCTAGATTATGTGAAATATATTTTATAATTCTTAAAAATATTTTTTGTGAAAATATTTTTAAGTTTTTATAATTTAATAATGTGAAATTTGTTATTTGTCCCAGCAGCATTTGGCAGTGATACAGTGCAATACAATCGTACGCTGTCGAGCTTGCAGAACATATATCAACCCATTTGTATATTTTGTCGATTCGAGAAGATGGAAATGCAATCTTTGTTTCAGACTTAATGAACGTAATAAATATACTTAAGTTGTTTACATTATTGCTTAATATTATATGATGATTAAATATATTTGCATCTTGTTGCAGTTCCTGAAGAATTTCAATTTGATCCTGTGACGAAATCGTATGGTGATCCAGCGCGACGACCAGAAGTCAGAACTGGCACGATAGAGTTTATCGCGCCAAGCGAATATATGGTCAGTGATTTTATTTTTCTATTTTCGATTACATATATGTACTAACTAAAATATAAATAATCAGCTTTAGATCAAATATTTACATATTATTTATAATTATAAAATCTGTATGCATAAGAAATTTGTTTTCTTCGATGCATTTAATTTAATGGATACTGTGTATTTTCCAGGTCCGTCCACCTCAGCCTGCTGTTTATCTTTTTGTCATGGATGTTTCTCGTCTCGCAGTGGAAAGTGGCTATTTGCAGATTGTCTGTAACACCATCACTGAAGAATTATCGCGTCTCCCCGGCGACAGCCGCACTCAAGTCGGTTTTCTTGCTGTCGATTCTGCTTTACATTTCTTCAGCATGCCTGATAATGTATCGCAACCGCACGAAATGATCATGCTAGATATCGATGACGTATTCCTGCCATGTCCAGAGAACCTAATTGTAAATCTGAAAGAACGCGAGGAGCTCATTCGCGATCTTCTCGCCCAGCTATCTGTCAAGTTTTGCGGTACTCACGATACTAACAGCGCTCTCGGCGCTGGTCTTCAAGCTGCTCTAAAACTTCTTTCCGCTACTGGAGGACGCGTCACTGTTTTCCAAACATGTCTGCCTAATCTTGGTCCAGGAGCCTTACAGCCCCGGGAAGACCCCAATGCTAGGGCGAACAAAGATGTGCCGCATCTTAATCCAGCAACAGATTTTTATAAAAGATTTGCTCTGGATTGCAGTGGACAACAGATTGCAATTGATTTGTTCTTATTGAATAGTCAATACAGCGATCTGGCAACTTTATGTAAGTAAAGTTATTTATTGGATATTATTCTAATAAAACTAAATTTTGCAATAAAATAGTAACTGTAAATAATTAATCATTGCGATTTTATAAATCTTTTTTTCTATAAATTTCAGATATATTTTGAGAAATAAGAAATTTTGATTTTTGATAATTGGAAAAATTTCTTTCTTTGTATAAATTAGTAAATAGTTCAATTTGAAAATGTATTGCTTATTGTCAATTCATTTACGTTACTGACAAATATTTATAACATTAATCTTTTTTTATTATATTCTGTAGCATGTATGTCAAAGTTTACTGGTGGCTGCATTTACCATCTGCCACTGTTTCGAGCGTCAAAGTTGCAGAATAGTGAGACATTGGAGAGATTGTTTCGCCGTTATTTGACCAGAAAGATCGGCTTCGAGGCGGTAATGCGGCTTCGCTGTACCCGTGGTCTCAGCATCCATGCTTTTCACGGCAGTTTCTTCGTTCGGTCGACCGATCTTCTCTGTTTACCAAACATTAATCCGGATGCTGGTTTCGGCATGCAAATCTCTATTGACGAGAATCTCTCCGACGTGCAAAATGTATGCTTCCAAGCGTCTCTTCTCTATACTTCGAGTAAAGGTAATAATATCTTTTGGAAAAATTTTTTCTCACATTTCATATATATTTTGTATATTTATATTTAAAGGTGAACGAAGGATTAGAGTACATACCCTGTGCTTGCCAGTTGTGGCAAGTCTATCGGATGTCCTATATTCTGCAGATCAGCAATGTATAGTGGGCTTGTTATCAAAAATGGGTTAGTCAATCTTTTATTTAATTTCATTTTAATTTCGTTTTGAATTATAAATTCTTAAAATATAATCCAAAATATAAAACAAAAATTTAATAATAATACATACATAATAAAACATTTTTAGTTCCTGTAATTATACATAAAATTTAAAAAAGCTTTTGTTTAAATATTTATAGCTGTCGATCGATCACTTCAGTCGTCTTTATCAGACGCTAGAGATGCATTAATAAATGTTGCTATCGATGTCTTGTCTGCGTTCCGACTATCACAATCTTCCGGCAGCGGAGGACTTATCGCACCAGGAAGTTTAAAATTGCTACCATTGTATATTATCGCGTTGTTGAAAAGTGTAAGTTATTAATGATCTAAAAAATACACCATAATTTATATTTAGACACGTTCATTATGGTTCGTATTTTTGTTACGAATTTACAGATAGCGTTCAGATCCGGCACGAGTACACGTTTGGATGATCGTGTATTCGCCATGTTTCAATTGAAGACATTACCATTAGCACAACTAATACAAGTGGTCTTTCCCGATTTATATCCTATTCATGCGCTCGATGATCGCAATTCAAAGGACATTGATGGCAAAGTGTGTCCACAGCCGCCGCGACTTCATTTATCTGCAGAAAAACTCGATAGCCGAGGCGTCTTTCTTATGGATGCTGGTGACAGAATCTTCATCTATATTGGGAAAAATATTAACCCAATATTTTGTTCAAATGTACTCGGAGTTTCGGCATTCGTGTCTATCCCGGAAGAAATGGTGAGCGTTTTATAATTTTTATCAACTGCATTTAAAAAGATTATAATTTATGAATTATAAAAATTTATGATTTAAGATAAAAATTCAATTCATCATTTAAACTTACTTTGCAGTACGAATTACCAGAGTTGGATACAGTAGAAAGCGAACGGTTGCGAAATTTTATATTTAGCTTGCAAGAAGAAAAGCCGTATTACGTACCTGTACAAATTATCAGGTAATTATATTGTTTCTAATTGATAACAAAAGAGATTGTACACATTGCAAGTTATTAAACATATATAATTATCTTCAATCTACGTATCTTTTGAATCATCTATATTTTGATTTATATATTATATTTATAATGCAATTTTTTTTTTTAATTATTTTTTAGGGACGACAGTCATTTTAGGACATTATTCATCGAACGATTGATAGAAGATCGATTTGAATCCGCTCTTAGTTATTACGAGTTCTTGCAACATCTCAAAACGCAAGTGAAGGAGTGACCAAACTAAGGAAATTCTTGGGTGAGATTAATTTGTGAAAGTGTTAGTTAATCGAATCCATGAATTACATGGAATTATAAAAAAAATTGTGCGACGATAAAGTTGTGTGATTCATCACAATTCATCGATTTTGGGTGTCACTTGGGATATATTTGGGACATATCACATGATTCAAGATCTATTTATGCCATCTACTTATGCAGCAGTGATAGCCTTATTGAAAGACACTGACGCATTTAAATATGATAGATTGTAATTGTTATTATTATAATAATTATTATTATTACATATTATATAATTCTTTATCATCAATAACTTCAATTTACATTCTAATTGCGCCACTTGGGTTAAGCAAGATTTCTCTATGCTTTAACTCATATATATCCAGTGAATGGTATCCAATTTTTATGATTCGTGTTACATCTATACAGCAATTTTATTTCAACAAAATTTTTATTTCTTCAATAAGAAAGTTTTCTTTCTCACTAACGGTATATAATTTTCAATAACGGTAATTCGTTGAATAATATCAATAGTGACAAATATAAAGCTGTTTAATAAGATATGTTTGTATAGAATTTTTTTTAATTATATATGTTTCTAAATATTCTTTCTTTCTCGTTCATCGAATTATCGTTATTGTCGTGAATTAATACGCAAGTGTTCTTATCTTAAATACCACACACATGTACACACACATCTTCAAAAAATCGTAAAAAATATTATTTACAAATGATTATACAAATATTATTTATAAATAATTATACACAATAGAAATGGTATTAAATATGTGCAATTTTGCATTTTTAATATAAGTAGTAAAATAAACGAAAGTGTGTGTACTTGCAAGACGTGTGTCGCCAAATGAAAATATTTAATGGTGATAAACAATGTACTTTTTGCAATTTAATCACCTATAGGCAATAAAACGAACAAGAGGATAGTAACGACTCATAAAATATTATATTATCGGTTGCTGTATGTCATTCTTCAGATAATGACAGGTTGTTAATCACATAAGATTAGACATTGCAACGTCGCGACGATAATTTCAAACAATCGATAAACGTTACGATTAAAGAATATTGCAATTGAATTATGTAATTGAATAGGAGGAGATGCGGAGAATAATTTCACGTGAATGTAAAGTACTGATACGTGATCGTCGAAGCGGATATAAAAGACTCGCCTATAAAGACTTTATAAGAAATAAATAATGATGAATGAATATATAGAGTACTGGCGAGTGTTATAGTAAATAAAAAAAATGAATATTGTAAAATATAATCATGCTGTTCATACTGTATCGCGCTGCCAAACAAGTTTCCTGGCATTGATTTCTTTTTGTCATCATATTTTACGATTTGCTAGAAGCAAAAATAGCATGACAATTTAGCCTATTATTTAATAAAACATTTATATATACATATATAGATATATACATATATATAGATATACATACACACACACATACACATACATACATACATACATTACACATATTATACGGGAAATTATTGTACATCTTTTAACGAGCCTTGTCCGTGTACCACCCAATTTTTTATAACTCACCAACTGTATATTACGAAAAAAATGCTTCAAAATTTTTAGTCCGCTTTTTCTATTTTTTTATCGATATATCGAAAAATCTCCTAATTTATCCCAACACATATACATCACTATTTTAATCTTGTGATGTATAAAATATATCGCGCGCGTATGTATAAAAAGCTACTCGCTATTACAATAATAGATGCAAATTTGTATCGTTCGAGAGAGGATATAGATAACATCTCGATATATATACCGTACAACTATCCTCTCCCTCCCTCTCTATCCTACACTCGCACCGAAATCACCGATATCGGCTTCGACGCCGGCGTCGGCGCCGACGTCGGGGGCGACGACGGCGTCGGCGCTTGGCGTTCAGCGCTCCGCGAGGCGTCGGCCGTTTGACTGCGTTATCAGTAGTGGTGCCGTCGTCCGCGTGAGCAGGTGAAGGCCTTCGTTATAGTAGCTGCTCGGCGACCTAGGTAAGCCTTGTTTTGACTGGATCCTCCCTCCCCCTCCCCCTCTTCCTTCTTCTCCCCTCTTTTTTTTTTCGAGTCCCGCATCGACCGGGCCAGGCCGCGATTTTTTCATCCACCTTCCTTCCGCGCATCCTTCGCGGGCGGCGGCGATAGCCGCTCGTCGGTCGCGGGGGGCTGATAAAACGCAAAATGAAAATTTCAGCGGGATTCAAATAGAACGCCACTGTGCGAATAACGGAGGGAGCGGGGAAGGGAAGAATGAGGCTCGTGAGGGAAGCAGTTGTGACGTCTTATGTTTAATAAATCTAATATTTCGGGAATGCAATCGCCCCGCCACTCTCGATTTAACGCTTTCCGCCGATAATCCGCGATGACGCGTCGTCGATTGTTTTGCTCTTTCCTAGCTCGGCTGGAATATCCTCCTCTCGTTACGATCTTGCGACACAAACGCCGAATTAATTCGGCGAAACATGGAGGCGATGGTGTAATTATTGTACGCGCGCGCGAAATAGCTTATGTAAAATAATAAAAGATGCGAATGCATTTATGAATTATGGAGAGGTTTAAGAAAAAGAAGAAACTCTCATATTATTTATATATATATATATATATATATATATATATATATATATATATATTTATTTATTCGCATTAAATGACTTATATATCGACTAAAGACGAGTTAAAAAATTAATTATAAAATTCGATGGCATTTGCTAAAAAAAGAGAAAAAATTTATGGTACGATTCAAGTGGGTATCGGATATAAACTTTGTAAACAAATACGTGATCGAGATGGGGTTCGTACGTTGGCGGAAGGTTAATTGGTCAGCTCCGGGTGGAACTATGTTTAGTAACAATTCTCTACGCGATGAGATTCCTCTATTTTTATCTTCTTATCGTCGCCTTTCACGTGTGTCGCGGGTGAATTCCCTTCGTTTTTTCCTTTCGTAATAACGCGATAGCTATCGTCCAACGCGCGGCCTTTTCCGGCTTATTATCATTAACGGTATATTGTACTTTATTGAAAAATGTTGCTTCAAAGCTCTCGCCTTCTGTTCCGATAACGCGAATTTCTCGTCGTTGATTCGCACGATTGATCTAACTGCGTCGCAACGACTCGATAATTGTCGTCGACACTTGGCGACGTTTCTCCTTTTTTGTTTGCCATGTTCGTCCTAGCCGAGTGTGTGCGCGGGATAGCAAATATTTGTACGTGTCGCGCGCGTTGCTCACTTTCTCGATGCAACACGTATCCCGAGGTCCGCGAGGAAACCACATAACGAGAAACTGTGTACTTAGATACATCGAAATTCCCATAAATTCGAAAGTATGTTTATTCCCTGAAAGACGCGCGTATATCGTACAAGATTTTTTTTTTATTTTAAACGTAAAATGAAAAAAAAAACACCTAATATGCATGTGTGTTTTGATTCTCTCCATTAATAAGAGAGCTAAATGCTGGTCATTATTATATAATTTATGATTGTAATTAATTGTATAATTTATAATTGTAATTAATTTTAGCCAGCTCTCTCTGCTTTTATATATATATATATATTCTAACTTAAAAATACTGGATTTATCCGATTCAGCGAAACTCGACAATTTCATTTCTATCAATCCCATTTGCGTTGAATTATCTACTTGGCGCGACTGAATTGTATTCGTGATTAAAATTAATATCCGAGAAACTTAGCTCGAACGATTTTCGCCAGCTTGTAATTTCGAGCTCGCGAAAATAACAATGGTCACGACAGTTCAGCCACGTGCTGGAGCGGGTCAAAAGTTCACACTAGCTGTGACGGGGATATGACGCTGATACACACCGACGCGTGCATTTGACAGGTATATACGTCGAAATGTAAATTTGAGATTATCGATGTATATGCACTGTCGAATGTCGCGCCCTGTATCCGCGTCATGTATGCCGTTGTCGGTCGAAAAGATCGATACGCATCGCGCAAACCCTCTTAAAATATGCTCGCATCCTTGTGCGTAAAGTGCGACACGCAGGCTCCGAATTTGTCAAAAGAAAGCTCGATCGATTTGACTTTGGAGCGCGGGCGTGGGAACATCTTTCATCCGATATTAAGCCTCGTCTCCACGCGAGGGGACGAAATTTCAGTCGAATCCCAAACCGGGATCTCTATATCCCTCTCTCTCTCTCTCTATCTGTTTTCGTGTTACAGAAGGTCTTCACCCTGAAAATGGGAACGTAAAGGATGCCGCACATCAGGGCGGTTGATATTCTCCCTAAAGCCCATCATATACCTTGGCCCGTCAACTAATTGGGCAATGACCAATGAGCACGCTTGGGATAAGTACAAACTAACATAACGATCGGAAGGCGATCAGATCGCTTTCGCAAGTCATCGATCTTACATTATTTAGCGATCGATAGGATGGTATCGCGAGGGCAATCGAGAGTATCGCCTAGTCGTATATTAACGGATTAATGTAACGCTCATTGCATTCGCAAGCGAAGACAATCGTAGCTGATTAACTAGTTGCTAAATTAATATAAATATATAGAATATATATGTAAAACAAAGCATATATATATGCATACAAATATATAATAACGAGCTATAGATCGAAAATCACAATCTCTATTATTTGTTGAGCATCGACTATTGTATGTTGTTTAATTAATGATCGCCGGATCGATCACAAGTACATATATCGATACACGAGTACCTTGCACATATAATAACTAAGTTGTTAGAACGTCAGAAAACGCAGAAATCTAAAAGATTTATGCTCGAGATATTTAGACACTTCGCATTGGAAGATTTAATGTCGTGAAGAATTTAAAAGTCTAGCGCTGGATAAGAAATTCACATACATATATAAGTCTAAGCACTCGAGCTGTCCCACGTCCAGACGTCCGACGATAAAAGAGTCGGATAAGCTTAATTAATCCAAACGTCCGTATGAAGAATTACGAATTTATGTGGAGTTAAAAATAGAAAAAATATTAAAAAAAAAGATACATGCAGTAGAGTTTACAATACATACATACACACATACAAATACACATACGTATCTTTAAGAAATCAAAGTCTCGAATGATAAAACGGTCGACAAAGCTTTAGCGATCGAACGATACAACGTAGTGTAGGACGAAAATAAAGATATCTCAGGCTCTACGAGAAATGGAGTCGCATATAAAAATGCGTAAGCAATGATTAGCATCTAATTCGAATCGCGAAACTCTCAAAAACAATGAATCTTGAGGTGGAGTTGATCGCGGGGGTTATCAAAGGCGGTTCACCCCCCGCACATCTACCAGCACCGAGACTCATCAAGATATTCATCGCCAGCGAAAGAGATGGTAAATTTTCCCAAAATTTCAAAATTTCAATAAATTTTGCTCGCATATGAAGCGTACGAATCCACTATAAAATTTATTACAGGGTGTCCCTACTTAAATCTTGTAAAAAAATTTTCTGAAAGTAGTATTCCTTCCAGATATTTTTATATAAAATTCCCAAGAATATTTTAAAGATTTTTTATGCAATTTGGCTTTCTTATCAACGAATTGCCGACTATTTGTAGATAATTAAAGAGAGAATTTTTTGAAATCCCTTGAGTCATTTAAAAAATTTCCAATAAAATTTCATGAGAATTTCCTTCCTGATTTTCTTTAGAAAAGATATCCCTGAGAACTTCAATCAAATGAAAAATATTTTTGAGAATTCCCATGCTTTTTTAGAAGTAAATACTTTGTATTAGATAAATATCGTCGTATTGAATAAGATTCAGAATCTCAATAATTTTGCAATAACATTACCACGTAATAAACGCGACGCAAAACCGGTATAAAGCTCTCCCGGTAGAGAAAACCTCTCAATAACATGAAATTAAATTCGCTCGACATTTCTGCCGGCTACAGACTTTACGGAAGAGCGCAAACAGCTGCTGGAGGTGGTCGGTCCGGAACTGCAATCAATTTACGATGATATGGGAATCGAGGTCAGTAAG